AAAGGCAGTGCAATTACCTATTTACTGATAAGAGACAACTGATATCAACTCACAAGCGAAAAGATTGATTGCACATTGCGGTGCTTTTTCAAGCTTCCCGAATTCTGAACAGGTACCGTGCACAAAGTTTGGCAACCCGGGTAATAGCAGCACTGCGCGCGTTATACCATTTATTTGGGCAACATCATAATAGCAAGCTCATGTCGATCTATTCCGATTTACTTCAAATATAACACTCGTATCTTTGATTGTCTAGCCCTAACCTTAACTCTAACCCTAACTTTGACCCTAACCCTAACGCTAAACCTAACTCTAATATTAAGGGGTGCACGGTAAAAATAAACTTGCTCTAATTTTCAAAATTTTTGTAATATTGTTTTCTAGAGACTGTGAGAATTTTCACTGTACCAAATTTGTCATACCTTTTTGGAATGATCAGTGAGTTTTGACGAAATTCATTTTTTTTAGTCATATTAATCTGTCATATCTTTGGTTCCTGAACATAAATCATGCTGAAAATTTGTCAGAACCTTCCAATCATACTTAAGTTTAGTTACTACCCGCCCAACTTAAATTAGTTGGGAGAGATTGGCCTTGACTAAGAGGTCTAAAAATGACAAAATAGGTATAAATTCATTGATAACTCAACTTCTGACCATCGAAATTGCTCAAACTAATTTAGGTTCAGTAGAACATAAATGTTTACGTAAGCTGACCAAATTTCAACAAAATTTTTATATGGGAAGAAATTATAACGTTTTGATTGTTTCCGAAATAATGTGCTGGCCGAAATACGAGCTAAAAAACCATTCAATGGTCAGTGCGCGCGTCTTACGGTCGATGGCCATTTTAATGTTTCCCCATTTATTTTGAGGTCTTGGATATAAGATATTTGCCTTATTTACTTGTGAAACAAGCGCGTCACGCAGTACGCGTATACACGTCCAAGCTTTTCTTTTTTTTAATTTGAAAAAAAGAAAAGCTTGGACTTCAGACTTAGATTGCCCCCAGCTAGTTGAGAGCGTGTTGTAAGGTATTTGAATTTGTTGTTCCAGGAAATGGGGAGTCTAGTCTGGGCATGATGGGTGGTATGGGACCATTTTGCACTGTGGTTGTACATCGGAACACGATTCAGGTTTGATCTGCTACGAAGCACATTTTTGCATTATGAGGGGAATTAGAGGAAAACAAACAGCCCAGAATTTTGGACTGAAAAACGCATCCCTCAGAAGAGAAGCTTTGAGGTCTCCTAGATTTGTTTATGTAAATTTTATAGATGATTTATTCTAATTTTTATATTGTGTACAATTTTACAGACAAAATGATTCCAGGGGGGACTACCAACCCACCACTTCGGCAGGTAGTTGATTCACCTTCCACAAACAAGAGCCACCTTGGTCTACTTGCTGTTGTGTCTCAGCTACAGTGTCTCAGCTACATGGGTTGGGGGTCCCCCTTCTTTTTTTAAATTTTTAAAAACATTAACATGGTTAATTATCTATTTAGGCAAAAATCTGGATAATATGTCGATCAAAATACCTGGTGTAGGTGCTTTCCTTTATTTTGGATATGGAAGCAATTTGTTTTCTGAACGAATTCACATAAACAATCCATCTGCTAAGAAAGTTTCTATTGCTCGATTGGATGACTACAAGCTCAGTTTTGGGCATTTTTCCAAAAGATGGGGTGGAGCAACTGCAACTATTAAACCTCAAAAAGGATCACAGGTCTGGGGAGTTGTATGGGAAATTGATGTTAAGCATCTTCCATCTCTTGATAAACAAGAAGGAGTCCCATATGTTTACCAGCGACTGGAAGACAAAGAAGTTACAACTATAGAATCGGAGAAACTTTCTGTTTTAACGTATCATTTGGTTAAAGGGCTGGAATTGGATCCAGTTCCCAGTGGAGTGTATCATAGTATTATTCTTAAGGGAGCTATGGAGAATAATTTGCCCGGTGAATACATGGAGTTTCTTCGAGGTATAAAGAATAATGGTTTTATGGGAAATGAAGGCACTGTGTTTGAATTGCCAGCAAATCCTGATTATGAAGATCGGTAAGCAATGTCATGATGATGATGATGAAAATCTTAAAATAACTGGCTAAAATGAGCATTTTATTAACAATAAATAGTAAAGATCAAAAACTTTAATTTCCAACAGACTTATAATTTTAAATATCCAGCTTACAAATTACATCCCTCTAAAACGTTATAAAACATCAATAATCTATACTATAATTCAAAGATTTAGGTATAATAATGTCTGTACGACTGCCCACGTGCAAATTAGGTAAAAAGCAAAAGGTTGCAAAGTAACCATGGTAACGAGGGTTGTTACAAGCACGTGCACGTGCAAAGATTGTAAGACCAGCATTTTTATCGGTTTTGTTGATACTAAATTGTGTTTAGTGCGAGCAACATTATAATCGGCTGTATCTTCGGTTGTGTAGGATATTTTTTGATGCAATTTAAACTGACTGCCAAATAAATAGAATACTATTAGCTTCCTCCCTGTGACCACGGGTTTTCTAGTTTAGTATAAAATTAAAGATCTTTACAATTTCTACCATGGGCACATATTAGGTGCGATGGGTGCGGGATCGCACAATTTACCGTTTTCCGCACACTTCCGCATAATTTATTGTTTTCCGCACATTTTGTAATTATCTGCATATTTCCGCATAATCTAGCATTTTCCGCGTAATTTCGCATAATTTTGAAATTTTCGCGTTAAGATTTTCGAGTGTAAAACCAACATATGTTAAAAGTTGGGCACTTTTAGGACCGTGACTCAGGCCCTTTCGGGACCCTGGCCCAGGCCCTTTCGGGACCCTGACCCAGGCCCTTTCGGGACCGTGACCCAGGCCCTTTTGGAACTCATACCTAGGCCACGTGACCCAGTTACCACGTGACTCAGGCCCTTTCGGGACCCTGACCCAGGCCCTTTCGGGACCCTGACCCAGGCCCTTTCGGGACCCTGACCCAGGCCCTTTTGGAACTCATGCTTAGGTCACGTGACCCGGTTACCACGTGACCCAGGCCCTTTCGGGACCGTGACCCAGGCCCTTTCGGGACCCTGACCCAGGCCCTTTCGGGACCGTGACCCAGGCCCTTTTGGAACTCATGCTTAGGTCACGTGACCCGGTTACCACGTGACCGAGGCCCTTTCGGGACTGTGACCCAGGCCCTTTCGGGACCCAGACCCAGGCCCTTTCGGGACCCTGACCCAGGCCCTTTCGGGACCGTGACCCAGGCCCTTTTGGAACTCATGCTTAGGCCACGTGACTCAGGCCCTTTCGGGACCGTGACCCAGGCCCTTTCGGGACCGTTACCCGCGCCCTTTCGGGACCGTTACCCAGGCCCTTTCGGGACCGTGATCCAGGCCCTTTCGGGACCGTGACCCAGGCCATTATGGAACCCTCGTCGTTACCGTACTTCGATTATAGTGTATCAGTTATCATTCGTAGGTGATAATAGAAGAAGTAGGTGTAAAGGGTAATGAGCTTTATTCGTTGCAGCGTTGGCTTTATAGTGGGCTTAATGGATCTTGGATCAAATGGTTCACAAATACTGACGATCAATGCCAACAAGCGTGTCACATATTTGCGATCACGCATGGGATCTGATCGACTCTATCAAGAGGCGTCTTCAAATAACTGTATCCTGATTCCTGATCTCTACCAGATCAAGTCACTGTTCCCAGATAACTGAATCTCAATATAGGTTCAATCATGGTCTTAGTAAAGAACTACACCCTCAGTAACACATAAACAGACCTATTTTTGATAAGAGCGGCGGTTATACGTTTAGAATTTCCAAAGTCCTCGAGAAAATGCAAAAAAAACCCGCACAATTCCCGCACAAATTTCGAAAAAATCGCCGCACATTTGCCGCATAATTGGTAAAAATTTACCGCACCTTACCGCACATTTTACCTTTATAGTCGGGTGCGGTACCGCATAATTTCGATTTTTTACCGCACCTAATATGTGCCTCTGATTTCTACACTTCAAAATACTAGAATAAATGTTCAATGAACAAAATATTTGACTTTACTACACCTCAATATACTTGGTAGTCCATCTTTTATCATAATAGTAGCAAAGTTAGCTTAAATTAAATGCTATAATAAATCTCATTTTCTAAGAATAAAAATTCAGTGAAACAAGAAATTCAATGAAACAAGAAATTTAATTTTAGCACATTTTACAGAATAAAAAGATGTAAAACAATTCATAAAATATAATGCCCATTTGGTGTATGACTTTTTTTTAGTGAAACCTTATCTTTTCGACAGCAATGTCAAAGAATTAGATTCTGTTTACATATCTCTTGCTGATTTGACAAAAGTTTGCATCTATAAATTAAGATTTGGGATACTGTAGCTAGGTCTTAGTTACATAAATGTTTGTTGAATATTATTATAATTTTTTTCTGCATTCAGTTTCTGCTGTATTATTGAGTTCGAGCATGTATAAAATTAGTTGGGTTTTGTGTTGTGTATTAGTGTAAAATGTTTTCTTACCGTACCAACTTTTCTTCTTTCTTCCTTGTCAGGGTGTCCTAAAAATCCCTCATAAATATTTCTTAAATGTGTGACGAAATTTACCTGGTGGTACCATTTAACGAAAAAGTCGTTAAATTTTTAGATAATTGTCATATGGAACTATCTATTGAACTGGAAATTCAAAAATTTTGTCAAACAACAAGGGCCCCAGGCCATGTTAACTCTGTCACATTTTTATAGTGTGACAAAGTTTACATCTCGCTGCCAGCAAGATATCGTTTTGTGACAAAATTTGCCTAGAGGATAATAAGGTTACTAATATTGTACTAATATCCTCAAAATTGCATTGAACAGAACACGTCCATAAACGTCTACTGTGTGCAGTGAAAATAGTTATGAGATGATCTAGAAACTTTAACACGTACATCTATTATTCAGGTATATGCCACCATTAATCACAAGTATTTATTGTCACATTGACAGTCTTCTTCTCAGCATGGTACAAATTACTAATATCGGAATCCCTGATAATGAATGAACCACTTCACTGAACACTGTTGAGACACTCACCATGACTGGCTTGACCACTACTGCAGCCTTATACAAACTACATCATGGTATCAAAAAAGGACTTGAAGTGCACACAAAATATTCAGTGTCCCCTTTCCTTACTTGGTCTTTTTTTTCAGGTGTCATACTCTTTATGATTTGGGTGGCAGTTTGTGGACTCTACCAAAAAATGTACATGTAAGTTAGTTTCATGATATCGTGAACCTCGTTAAAATCCATGTAATGTCACAGTATTCAATACCAACATGAATATGAGCAATGTTTTTATGTCCAATTCTTTCAGTGAAATTTTTACAGGTATGTATCTGTAACATTGGGATTCCTACTTTTGCTGACAGCAATATTATTTTTAATTGATACACTGTTAGCTTACAGAGAAAAGGCTGATTCGATTGCAGACATTCTTAACATAATACAGGTGTGGTCTGATATTTCTTCTTATTCGTTTCCTTCTTGACATTTTAGACCGAGATATTGAATTTTTAACCAAGGAATGTGGCTCTTAGAACTATACTAAATAACTGGCGAGAGATGACGTTCATATTTTGACACATTAAATTTATGGAGTAGATCAGTTTCTGCCGATCGGTCGATTGCTTATTTTCATTAACCTAATATTACTCCAGATTAATCAATAATTAAAAGTAAAAGTTATTATCTTTTATCGACCAGGCATACAATGTTACGCAACAAGATGTACCAAGAAGCAGTGCTAGTTGTAGCAAATTTGGGTTCTACCTCAATGAAACCTATCCTAGGTAAGCAGCACAGTATGAATTGTATTCTTATAACATTTGAGTACAAAATGATGTTATATGTTGACAAGTGACAATTATAAATTTATAAGAACAAATTAAGAGAGAATCGAACGATGCAACCCTTACTCACGCTGTAAATGTTGCAGTAGTACAAGTGTATCAGTTCAGCGAGTTTACCGTAACGGGAAGGTAGTGAGCGTGGGTCAGACGTTACTGGTACAGGGGGACATCATTCTCCTTAATCAAGGAGAACAGGCACCTAGTGACTGCAACTCCGTTAGTTATTTACTTATTATGAGATATATTAATTCGAAGACATTTGCTGAGATATTTAGGAAAAATGATCGGAATGTTGAGTGTTTAGTATGAGATGAATGGATATAATAACAATATATAATTATGATCTTTTAAGTTGCATCTTCCTGCAGTTATCTGGAGAAATATCTTTGAAAAAGGGAGACATATTCAATGATAAAAAGGATTTTGCTGATACTGGTAAGTTAAATTAAGGCTTTTCAAAATATCTCAAATCATTATCAATCATACAGAAGTAGAAGTGTATTAATATATTAATATATAAACCAATAGTGTACTGTAAGTATTGAAATTATCGCCAAACAACGGCAGAAGTGAAGGAATGTGTGATCGAACAGGCGAAGTTACCGACCCTGTTTTCTGTCTCTAAAACAGAGTATCAGACGTTGGTGAAGGAGTTCCTCAACAAAGTCAGACTTCCCAGCAAACTTCATCTGGAGATACGGAGTATTCTCAACATTATCAATTACATCGTCTTACCTTCTGTTTTGGTTAAGATAATTATGATATAATATAATGATGAAATGCTTCAACTTCTTTCTGGATCGAAACTGTTAAGAATGGCGTCTTTAGCAACTTGGCGTTTTTACAATTGTTAAAATTTGAACTTTGTTAACATGTCACGTATGTATAATTCTGTTTTTATCAGTTTGCAAGTGCGCTAGCAGGGTTTCTACAGTACAGTAATATGGAGAGAAGTATAGAGAGTAGCACAGCAAGTGTTTTAGTAACATTACTCCCTCTACTTCCCACTATTTACCCGGTAATTGTTTATTATTTTAGACATTTTATGAAAAATTATTCAATCGGCTCTGTGGATTGTGGCTGTTGGAAATGTTATGTTAAAACAAGTAAATACAAGTCCAGGTAATCAAATTTAAAGATTTATTGGTGATATTGATATGTGTTGAAAGATGGTAAGGGATACCGTTTATAACTTTATAACTTATAATCACTCTTGCATTTTAGTTGTACTACACAATGGTGTACTATGTGAGCACAGCGATTGTGATCAGTGCTAGTTACGATACAGAGCGCAGTGCTACGCACGACCCCATGAAGACTCCTGACAACACTAGTAACCACGTTAACGTAAGAACTATTCGGGTCAAATTTTCAAGTTTCAATTTGGTTTTATTTTAAATATTTTTAGCTGAATCATGCTTTTGGTTTTATCCTTCTAGCTTTATGATGTTAATTTAACACAGTTATAATTCGAATTTGTCATAACTTAAGGATTTACAATTTAGCACATGTTACTCGTTCATACAATGTAAATATATATTATATGACAAATAAATCTTTAACAGTAAAAAATATCTCAAAAAGATACTGTAACATTCAGATAAAAGAACTGAAGACAACAAAACAGATCCTGCACCTAACCTACAAGATACTTGTGGGTCAACTTTACCGCTGTCTCCCACGCAACAGCAACATATTCGACACGCTTTCTGCTGTCACTGTAAGTTCTCACATTAAAATTAAATTCATTTTCGTTCCAAAATTAAGTAAAATGTTAGTTTTGAAATAATTACAACACTACAAATCTATTACATTTATTGAGGGCGTTACAGAAGGAATTGATTTAATGTAGTTGGAGGAGTCCTAACTCTCCTCAGTCCTCACGTCCGTAAATGAAGTTTTCTTTGTATCATATACTTGACTTACGGGTATATGGCCCCCAGAATATAGGTCGTTTTTTGAGCACTTAGAAACAGGTGTTGAAACTACTTCTAAGCATGTTTAGGGCTGTAAATATGTACATAATAACCCTTTAAATGTTTCTTGGGTAGTTGAAAATAATTATTAGGTTTTTAAGTGTACTTTTTTTCACCTGTAAAAATACCATTTTTTAACAGGGCCCCCAGAATATAGGTCCAAACATCTGTTCCTAAGTTGTTCTAAAATTGTCACAGACAGTTATATGCAGTCAGAATATGTTGCTGAGACTGTATTGATGATGCCAATGGCTCCAGATACTAAATTGAAATGGTTTAGAGTATACTTAATAGCAAAAAATCAAAAACTACGGCCCCCAGAATATAGGTATGCAAAAATCGTCCTCAAATACTCCACCTTCATACATTTTGATGATGCCATCTCTTCAGCATATGTTCTTTAACTGTTTCTCATCACTACCCCACATTCCTTAATGCTCAGGGTGACAGAGAAAATGCAGAATCTTGGTCGCTATTTTTTTTAAAAAACCTATATTCTGGGGGCCATATACCCGTAATGAGTAAAATCTTTAATTTTACTAGTTAAAAAGCTTTCATGCACTCATTTAGTAGGGATCTTAACTAAATACTTAAATAATATTGAAGGAGTGTCCCTAGATATGATTGAGGGGGGCTGTTTTTATCTGTATCAATACAATGTGCACATCAATGACTGTAAATCAGACATTTTTGGCCGCCAAATTTTTTTAAAGGCCTAACTCAAAATTCTGTCCCAAAACTTAAGGTCATGAGACAATTCTACGTTGATTCTGAAAATTTCATGTGAAAATATTGAAACCCTATTGAGTTCTATTGTTTTGAGCGAAGTCAGTTTGAGATATGGGCGATTTTGTTCATTTTTTGCGATTATTTGAACACAGAATCCACAGTTAGGTAGATATTGAGCTGATAATCATAGAGAATGTGTAATATATGCTTACCTTCCATATAAAGTTGGTTTCATTCAAAAATATTGATATTTGACCAATTTATGGACCAAAATCGATCAAATTTGGTGCGTATGCCCAAATATGGGCATATGGTTTTTGTTTTTATCCCATAACTCGGCCAATTTTTATCCAATTTTGATAAAACTTGATATGTGGGTTCAGGAGACTAGTAGCTACAAGTAGAGCATCCCAAAGCATGGTTTTGGGCATGTTCAGGGTTTTTGACCAACCTATATTCTGGGGGTCGTATAGACCTATATTCTGGGGGCCCGTAAAATTGTGGTGGCCATAACTTTTTTCCAAATTGTCAGTTTGCAGATGTCTCGATGAAAAGATAGCTTAAAATAATACTTATACTCATACCAGTAGTCTTAATGGCATGTGTTGGACAGATTTTTGTCATGACAATTTTTCGCCATATTTACCCCTCTAGAAAATGACAACATCGTTTAAATCTTTCGCTGTCATGACCAAATATACCAAAATACCTCATGTAGGTCCAAAATTTTTATCCAGAAACATTAGTTACATGTTTTACTCCAACCTAGCAGTAACAGATCCCATTAGTATCGCTTATCTTGGTTAGAACTGTATCCACTAACATGACCTATATTTTGGGGGCCACCTATATTCTGGGGGCCATATACCCGTAATCAAAAATTTAATTTTTAAATTAAAAAAATAAAATCTTACATTTCACAACTCTGCGATTCAAATTGTTCTTGTCTATCTAATAGATCACTTCAATAACATCTAAAATTAAAAATCGATGACATAATGTTCGAAAAAAGCTGCAGCTGTTCAGTGTTCAAAATGTTCATGGACTGAAAATTAGAAGCTAAAATCCAGATATAACGACCAACTAAAAAACTACACACAAATAAATCACAATTCAGTAACTCGTGTGACATAAGATGCTCCGATTGTCATGCTGTTACCGATTATCATTTCGCCATTCTCCGATACAGGTTCAAGTTGGTTTAAACATACAACACCTGTCAGTTGTCGATCGATAGTTCTATTTTTTCCTGAAATCACCATATCACCATTTACACCAACTTTTGGTGATTTCACTTGTAAGTCTAAGACCGTCGTTGTACTCTCTGGATTTCCAACCTGGAACATCATGCTGACAAGTTTCGTACTCTTCAAAACTGCTGCCATGTTCCTGATAGAGTCTGCCAAATCTGCCAGACATTTTCTGATGGAGTCTAAATCATAAATCAGAGGATTAATGACAGAATTCAAGGGTAAGACTAGCATTGCGAATGAAAGGTACCAATGCGTAGCATCTATTGTTTTAAGATTGTGGAGGCCACTGATGATTATAAATGGCACCCAACACAGAAAATCTGTCGCCACAATGGAAGTAATTCTTTTCTGCAGCTTAAAGTTTTGCTTTAAAACTGCTCGGTTATGATCCTGTCCCATTCTACTAGACGATCTTCTGCGAGCGAGGTTTACCTCGATATAAAAGATAGTCATAAAGATGAAACACAGTAAATTTACAGCCAGCACCAACCACACTACTAAATCCCCAGTTTGATCGGTAACTCCTGTTTCCTGTCTGCTCCTCCTGGCATCGTCAGTTCGAACAAAATATTTAAATAAACAAACACCGTCGTTACCGTAAAAATGAACAGTTCGCCTGGTTAAAACACCATACTGCTGACTGAACATACCGTTCACTTGTTCACCAATATCCTTCCATGTCATGCCTGATGTGATGTTAGTATGATTTTCAGTTGATTTGTAGTAAGCTTCGAGCACCTTCACATGTCGCTCTTTATTGGGAAAGCCGATGAAGATCTTGTAAGCTGGATCATAATACATCCCTTGTACAAAGTAGTCTTCAAGGGAGGTTACCAAAGGTGTGACTGCTATCAAAACTGCAACCATCAAAATTCCTAAGGCAAAGAGGCCCGCAAAAAGACTCGCCCTTTTATTGATCCGACGTGGAAAAGTCAAAGACAACCGGTAAAGGGCTACCATTCTGATGAGACTGAGGGCTGTCATGGAGAAAAGGGAAACTTGTTGTCCAATTGTGCTGATAACCCCAAACATTGAGCAGATTGTTCCAGTCAGCCACTCTGCTTGACGTTTACAAAAACTCTCTCTGTACACTATCGTATCGTAGATAGACAGTCCGATCAAGTAGATTCCTACCAGCAAGTCACCACATCCTATTAAAGTTATGAGCACTTTGTTATACAACACCAGCAGGCTGCTGACCTTTATTTTTAGTTTTTTCAAACTTATGATTCCTTCGTATACAGTAATTGCATTGAAAAGAGTAGCTGACAAACCCATGATCCAGCAAAAGATCTTCAGCCACATATGTCCAAGAATCTCCTTTTGACAGAATTTGTTACACTCATCCGAGAGATCAAAGCAGTCGTAAATTCCATCACATCTCTGGGATAACGAAATGAACTGGTGCTTGGTCGAATTCAGCGTGTCTTCGCAAATCATGTGATTTGTACAGTTTAATTCATCGCTCATATCACCGCAATCATCAAATAGATCACAGACCTGCTTGTATTCTATACATCTCCCGTTGTTACATTGGTAATAGTCCTGGTGATATTGTCCATCCCCGTCTGATTTCGTTACAAACGTCAGATAAGAGTTGTCAGCTAGCGTATAAACCCTATCTGGGTACTGTCGTGGACATGAGTCATACGATAAACTGCTGTTCTGAAGAGGACATACAGCGTCTATACAGAGGTTCATACAACTTAAGAAGAGATAATATTCACCAAACATATTACTACAGTCTACCTTGGAGGTAGGAACGGATAGGTTCGTGTTCGTTACTCCGAATACATCGCCCCACGGTCCTTTAAATTCCTTTACAGTGCAGATCGTGTCTTGACATACATCGTGAACTGAGCTGTTTAAATACGAAGTAATTTTATCAATAATCGGGAAGTTTCTAGCCACTCTACAAACCTCATTCTCTGTACCGCTTATACCACATGATTCTACACCATCACAAAGTTGCTCAAACCGAACGTACTGTTTGTCACCGTCCGGACACAAATAAACATTCTGACAATCTTTATTGTGTAGCTCAAACCGAAACGTCTCATACGTCTTATTACCACAATGGTTCCAATCATCAAGTCTTTCGTCAAGGCCGTTCAAACAGTCACGCTCACCGTCCATTATCCAAGAAGCTGGTGTCCCGACCTGGTGTCCTGGTTTCCCAAATCTGCGGTCACATAGAGGTTCTGAGATCATAAAGTCACACATATCATTGATTTCATCACTCCTGTCCGGACAATCATCTACTCCGTCACACATCCTGTGTTTGTGTACTTTACAGTCGATGGTAGTTGAAGGTGAAATGCAGGTGTTTTGAAAATTATCGTCACATAGTTTAACTGGGATGTTAGCTGTTTCATCGTAGTCAAAACAAAGCACAAACTTAGAAACGCTCGACATGAACCCATTTATCTTACAGTACCCTCCCACTCGTGCTATATCAGAACAGTTGGTCTGATCTAGATACTCCAAACAATACGGATAATTTCTCTCAAACAAATCCAACTTGTTGGTAAAATCAAAAACGGAGCATCTCGTATGATCCAGTATAGGCACTGTCATACTGGTATCATCAACCACTTTCTTCCTATAATGAGTACAATTGTGGACTGTAGTCCCGAATATATCACAACCCTCCTCATCCTCCTCATCAGCACAGTCTGATTCACCGTCACATACTGTGTGTACAGGCAGATACAAGTACTCCCTCCACACTGCGTCAGTACAGTTTACTCCATAGCTGTAGTCGTTACAAAAACTTTCGTCTTCACATTGTCGCAGTAAATCTTTAACGTCACATTTATCATCACAGAGTCCGGGTGATGTTGCGGCGGAACTGTTCTGGTGCGTAAAACAGTTTTCATTTTCACTGAATTTCTTGGATTTACTTGAATCGATTATGAACTGTCCGTTGCAAAAGTAGCCTCCGCACAGTACACCAGTGTTAGTTATATGTGTGTTAAACCCACAAGCTTGGTAAACACTAGGATCATTCTCACACACCGCAGAAACGCTTCTCAAAGTAAACTCAAAATCATGACCACCAAAGTCAATGCTCCGTTCATAAGACACATCAGAGTTGGTACACTTGAAGAATATTTGATCATTCGTTTCATCCCAACAAACAGTCTTCAAAAACCCGCTCACAACTCTAATATCACAGCCATTTTCTGATTTTCTCAACTGACTCAACAGCTTGTAGTCCACGCAGTTAGGACACTTGCAATCTTCTTCACTGTTCCTACACTCTTCAGTGTCATCGTACACGCCAGCGTTACAACAGGGGTGCTCTCCATCAGGGTTACACTCTGCGGCGGTACCGTCAGGGAGAGGGTTAAAGGCACCACATTTGTTGTCTGATCTCCACCTTGTATTATCAGTACCTGAGATAGAAGGGAAGTAATGTTAGGTTTTATCCACATCTAGAAGAGTAGAAAAAAGCCAATATTTTGACAATATTTTAGGACAATATTACAAATCGAGAATACGATTTATAACAGATGCTTTCGATTTATATAATGTTTACATACAGTTATACTGTATTTACTGACCTGGTCTTGATACACTCCACATTCCAAAGAAACTTGGAGTTGTCCATTTGGTATTTTCTGCTGCATCTGTTGAACTGTAGTTGCTTTCTAAAACAAGATTATTTTTAGCCATCAGCTACAGCATATAACAGCAAAATGTATAATTAATTATGTATTATCGATACTTAATTAAAATTAGGTGTCCATTTGTAATATGCCACGGTTAGTGATTAGTCATGAAATAAGATAAACAAAACAGTATTTTAAAATCTACTATATTTTAAAGTAAGCAAGAACAAACAAGCTGTAAATGTAATGACGTACCGGAAGCATGACACCTGAATATAATTACACAGGTTATGAGGAAACGTAGATGTTGTATCTTTCGTTGCTGTTTCATATTCCTTAAGTAATTGATATTATTAATAAAGATGTACAGTTGATCTTTTTGTTCTTTAGATTTTAAAATAATTTAAAATCTACAAGAAAAAGCAGTCGCAGTCAAGGTTGCAACTAAAAGAAATGAACTCAAACGGGTCTAGTTTAAAGGGCTGCAATTTATACGCGGTCAAATGTGAAATGAAACGCACGTGAAATGAAATGTTCTGCTTTAGCATTTAGGAATCACGACAATTTGATTTAAATAGTCGTTTAAATACCATGGCTCCATTGCAGCGTACTAATGGCTAGGACCGCGTGAGTTTCATTTCACATTTGACCGCTTATAAATTGCGGCCCCTTAAACCTTTATATATATATATATATAATAATATTATATTTTAAAAATATAATATTATATATATTATATACAAATTAACTTGTCACATTACAGGTACACGTTAAAATGACTATGACAATTTTAACGTGTGCCTGGTACCTGATACATGTGCCTTCACGCGTTTAATTGCATTTTTGTATGTTACGGAGACAGAAAGGTTACCAACAAAACATTCTCCACTTGGGATCACTGATTGCGGAAATATTGATTCTTGATCACTTTACCACTGTAACCATATATAGCAAACTATTTCTAGAGAATATCACTATGAGTTAGCCAGAATTATATTCTGAGTATTTTAACGTTCAAGTAAGCACCGAAGTTCACCGAAGCAACAAAACTCAGATAGACGCATAAAAAGTTATCTTAAAATTAAATCTTCACAAACGGTTAATATCCCATAATGCACAATTACAGTAAAAACCCGATTTATCGCGGAGTTTGGGATATCGAGAAGGAAATACCCGCAGTAAATGGTGGTTGGCGGTATATCGGGGCGCGTTAAATCGGGATTTTAATGTACCAAGTTACCCCGTCATTTAAATGAGCTATTTGACTGATCGATGTGGTGCTATTATCTTTATACTGTGTGAAAATTGCAAATAGTTTATTATACTACAGACACGAATTTGGTAAACTAAGTCAGTAAAATATTATACTACTATGCCTCTATGCCATGAAGATTAAATTTAAAGAGTTATTCAAATAGTATATTTTACTCCATCTAATGCACTTTTTCTTAAATTACGACGGCCATTATTTGATTATAGACAATTATAGACAATAAGTCCGACCATCCCTTGATGAGTAGATCGGTTTAGTGAAAAAGGAAATGGAGCAAACGGACGAGAACATACAATATACCGCCGAACGCGTAACACTTGATTAAAAAATGTAATCAGCCCTATTCAAGAGGAAAGCATTCAAATCAAACTTTACTGGACAGTATTGCAACATTATCATATTAGTCTCTGTGCTACAACCTCCGTCCTCCACCACCTCCACCACCTGCACCCCCTGATTCACTATTGTTGTGTAAGGAAACCAATCGTAAAGTAGTCACAAAATAGTCACAAAGTAGTCACAAAGTAATCACTAAGTAGTCACAAAATAGTCACAAAGTATTGTTTTACAGGTGTTGTGCACTGTGAACAAAGAAGGTATCCTCTCCAGACCTAACCCTCATGTAGAACGCATCATGTTGCTGGATCCTTATTTGCCTGAATCTCTCCCTGAAGGCAAACCTGACAGTCCAGGTAATACCTGTCAGTAATATCTAGCAAAACCTACTTGACCAGCACGACTTGCTTTGAATATTTAAAATTAAGAAATTTTTGCGCTAAAATTTGATGGAGATTACCGCACCATGATTGGTGTGACTTCTGTTAGAGTATTTAAATTCGACACAAATTCAACTTGCGGTCTACATACAGCTAAAATATCTCACATACACCGAGGGTTAGCTAAAATATCTCACAAATTATGTTAAGAGAGTTATCTCGAGGATATAGATATCTATCTTACCGGCTAATTATCTCGGATATCACGATATCAAACGGGTGAGCTAATTTGATTGGTAAGCTTTACTCAGAGTAAAGGTTGTGAATTCACAATAATACAAATTCAAAATGAACCTTGTAGTACATGAAAATGCTTATATAAAACCCGATCTGCCTTTCTATGAACTATACAATAGAAATATAAAAGTTTTAAACTAATTTTTCGCTATACAAAAATAATAAGATAAGTGCTTTATAATTAACTGTCATTAGGATAAACCGGGGTTCTCAGAAAAAGTTTAATTATTTAATTTTATAAAGCATTCTTTTGCCAGCTGACAGTAAGAAATTATATTTCGGCCGAGAGAGCTTAGGGCGACATAGATCGGGGGGATCATGACGTTGGTGGGTGGGTCATTTTTTCTTCTAAAAACATAGTTAGTACATGGTACTAACTGTTGGGTCTACTGCCCATTTTCCAGAAAAACAGTTAGTACATGGTACTAAAGGGGGTGTCTAACCCCAAAAAAACCCATTTTACCTCAAATTTCAATTTTGGGAATGGGTTTTGAGGTTTTTTTGGGTTTTTTTTTAATTTTTAAAATTTTTTTAAGTCTTCCTTGAAAGTTTAACTGAGCTCTTTTAAAAAAAAGCAATTTCTGGGTGGGTATCGTATTCTAAATACCAAAAAACAGTTAGTACCACGATTTTTCAACAGTTAGTACCGCAAAAGGCGGCAAAAGGGGTGGGTGTCTTACGTATTATCTAAAAAACAGTTAGTACCGCAAAGGGGGTGGGTGGGTCTAGTGAAAAATATCCAAAACTACACTTAGTCGACGTGATCTCCGGCACTTGGTACCTGATCCCCCCCCCCCCCCCCCCCCCCCCCCCCGCATAGATCATTAACAGTCGAATGTTGCTCAAGAGACTCAGTAATGTTGGAAGACGAAGGGTTGGGTCCTGGAGCAGATGGGGGTCAAGGAAATTATTAATTAAGCTCCCTTATCGCTGAGGGAGCTAACAATAGTGTACCGACAGAGGAGAATGCGGCAATATAATTTTTGGTGGTTCGAGCGGCTGCTGGACGGGCGCCGGTACCAAACAATTTTTGTTGTTATATTTAAATATTTTATTATATTTTAATATTTTACTATATTTAGATAACAGTCGCTTTACGTTAATTCGTTGAATAGCCCATATGACAAGACTAAGAACCAGCTGGTTGACAGAACACGTCAAGGAATGAGAGCGCGACAACAGTAATGCTCTGGCAAAGTGGTTTAAAGGAGTCCTATTTGGTCATATTTAACATAATAGGAATAATTATGAAAATAAAAACACCTTGGGACAGAACTAAAAGATTTCCGGCTTGTAGCTTTGTAGCTACGTTATTCTAAAACTAATTTCAAACAGGTTGAACAACAAGCTGTACATTATTACAGCTACCTTAAATGAAGAAGGATATATAAACGGCCAGGAGCCTGGAGCTATGTGTTAATCTCCAATATCCCGTATCATTACCAACTGTCTTACTGTATATATTTGCCAAGAGAGAGGGAGAGAGAGAGAGAGAGAGAGAGAGAGAGAGAGAGAGAGAGAGAGAGAGAGAGAGAGATAGAGAGAGAGAGAGAGAGAGAGAGAGAGAGAGAGAGAGAGAGAGAGAGAGAGAGAGAGAGAGAGAGAAGAGAGAGCGAATAGGTTTCATAATTACAGACCGTGCCTAATTTTTTGATTTGTCAATACAAGATAATATATTTTATAATAAAGTTAATTTTTGTGAGGCTGCGGGTATTGTTAAGAAGTGAATAGTTGTGTAACTAAACACTAATAAAGCGTGGGGGGGGGGATCAGGTACTAAGTTCTGTACGTGACGTCGACTAAGTGTAATTTTGGAATTTTTCAAAAGACCCACCCACCCCCTTCGCAGTACTAACTGTTTTTTCGGATTATAATTAAGGCACCAACCCCCTTTTGCCGGCTTTTGCGGTACTAACTGTTGAGAAATCACGGTACTAACTCTGTCTTGGTATATAAAATTTAAATTTTTTTTTAAACCCAAAAAAACTCAAAAAACCCATTTCCAAAATTTTAATTTGAGGGTTTTTTGGGTTGGACACCCCCTAAGTACCATGTACTAACTGTTTTCTGGGAAATTAGCAGCAGACCCACCACCCCAACGTCACGTCCAGTACTAAGTGCATGATCCCCCCCCCCCCCCCCCCCCCCCCCCCCCCGAATAAAGCAATACAAAACTCAGAATTCTTATAGCATAAATAGACAAGAGAAACCTCAACACAGCTAGAAATGCCCACAGTTCCTTTGAATTTTTCATCATGAAGGAGAGAGCCCCCTACTGCATGAACAGACTTCTGCTTAATAACCTGTATTCGACAGAAGAGGTCCTGGATAAAGATTGATTACTTTTCTTCCTCTCTGTTTGAATACCGCTCAGTCGCTAATCAGATATTTTCAATCTTCATCATGCTGTACTATTCATTGCTTACCGTATTGTGTTCTATCGAGGTCTTTCTTACCACAACATTATTTGTTTGTGGGGCATTCGCTCTACCTCCTAGCCTAGCCTATAGAGGATACGTTCTCCTTTATAGCTAGCCTCCAATCACAACATAATATAACACACTATATATACTGCATATTATACTATCCACTGAACGGCATGACTCGGACTATCAAGGAGTGAAATGATCCACGTGACTAAGCCATTTCAAGTACAGACTCTATGGGTGCGACAAACTGACGTTATATTATAGATTACAACGACAGTTATATCAAATCAAATTCTCGTTCCGTTATCGTGTTGATCATTCGTGGTTTTTTATTCGACCAACAATAATCAGTGTAGCACTAATATCCTAATTTGAACCTTACTTACAGTATCTATTTGGAATGAGGTACATTATAATATGGTGTTGACCACTATCTGACTTTTCGTTCCTCCTGAACCACTTTTACATTAACATAAAAAGGTCAAAGCATTGGGCTGTTTACACGACACAACATAAAGCTGAAGTCAGAATACTAACATAGAACTAAGAGCACTAACAGTAAAGTTATGGCTTCAAAATGAATAGGATCAATGGATATAATTATAATAGTGATCCCGCCAGACATCCAAGAAGCACTCATTGACAGACGACAGTCAACTATCAAATTATTCCTTATTTAATAAGCGGTGATCTTAATGAACTTGAAAGCCTTCGTAGTAAGATAATTAAGCTGTTTAATTGCGTAACAGAAAGTATGACCTCATGTATTTAAGATATTTGATTTATATCACGCACTTGCTGATAGGAAGTACGAAGCTTACATGTTAGAGTTTCTGCTGTTAACTGCTCAAATAAGTGTTTGCTCGGCAAATTTAGAATTTTAACTATGTTTTGCTTCAAAACAACTGTAAAACAACCGTAAAACAACTGTAAAACAACTGTAAAACAACTGTAGAACAACTGTGAAACAACTGTAAAACAACTGTGATACAACTGTAGAACAACTTAAGAATAACTGCAAAACAACTGTAATACAACTGTAAAACAACTGTAAAACAACTGTAAAACAACTGTAGACCAACCATAAAACAACTAAAACAACTGGAAAACGCAAAATTGGTCAGGAGGAGGTTGCAAAAGTGAGACAGCTCCAGGTTGAGTTTGCAAGAACAATATAAAATGGCTCATTGTGCATAAGATTATATAGTAGGATAATATAATAGAATAGTAGAATGAAATATAGTTTAACCAATTTTACACAACGGAATACAATTGAGAGCTTATTAATGATCCCATTAAAATTCAGTGAAGGGTTGAGCAAGGTCTGCAAGTGTTAATTGAAATGCCTGCTTCGGCCTAAACTATAGATGTATTATGACAATAGAAGATACGGTAGTGAATCAAATACCAATGCGGATGTAAGGTTAAAGATAAACTGTAATATGAGATTAGGACTTATGGAAAGAAGCTCCCGTGAGTGATAATACATAGCCTGGGAAAAAGTAACTAGCGCTGGACATTTTGATCGTATACTGGGGAAATTGGAAGTGATAATATCCATCAGTGAATAAAAGTGGGGACTTTATAAACGTGAGCTGAGTGCAAACCTGTCAAAATATCAGCCAAGAAGCATTGTTGTTGGGTGTCAGAAAAGGATAGGAATTTGAACAATTCATTTGGTTCAGGAGAACTGTCATTTCTACTGACAGGTCCTTCAAACAATCGGCGTCGGGGGGAATTTGTTCTGCAGATGAAGATGAAGGATAAGCCTAACTTTGGTAGATTCTCCGGTGAAATTGTCAGCACATTTTTTAGTAGTAAGTGACCAGATGGGGCAAGGGATGCTCTTAATTTTAATGCTGTCATTTGTAGTTATGGGATTATGAGGCAGGGACTTATGATGCACGTCACATACGTTTATATATCTAGGTTTTCGTTATAAATTAGGTTATAAATGAACTCAATAGCACCGAAAACCATCGGCTGAACAACACAAGAATTTCGGATTTTAATTTAACCTATCATTTATTCATTGCTTTATAGCTGTAAAGAAACTGAAAATGTAAAGATTTAGCTCAGGTCACCTAAAGCGATTCGTGAACGGTACATACGAACGATTAAATGGACCGTGCATTTTCATGATCAAGTTATATGAAGACAATTCGTTATGCATTATGCAATATCGTAAAAATCAATATCTCTGAAATGAATATCGGTGAATTATTAAAATATAAAAATAAAGAGTTTTTCTGACCAGTTAAAACGTTATATTTGGGCCAGTAAATTTTCTACAGCCAACAACTTTACCTGCAGGTATCCGCGCCGGTTAATGAACAATAGAAGTATGTAGTAACGGTAGTGGCTCTCATTAGAGCTGTGAATTAAATTACACGGGTGCATATGCCAGGGGTTCCGTCTCGACTATGCTAAAGTAAAATTAAGTGATTAGGGGGCGGCAATTGTAGAGGATGGCCTAATTTAAGACGCGAGGACAATGTTGCAAACAAATGTTGTTGTAAAATTGGCCCTCCTAGCGCCATTCTATGGTCCCAAATTGGTGCTAATTTCCAGCGAAAAGTTTAGCAAAAAGTAAATGGCTGTCCTGGTCGGTTGAAGGTGGCCACATCGGATCTTAGGGGTGGTTAATGAAACAGGTGGTCGGTTTATTAGTGATTGGAAAATTTATTCAGATTTTCCGTTTTCGGCAGTGAGAAAAGGAGCAGTTACCTTAAGACGACGAATTAGAATGGGGGTAAATTGTGTATTTGTTTGTTTGTTTATAGAACCCGTCCCCAATCTCGTATCGGAAAATGACTAAACTCAGGTCTGAGTGTGAATACGGGTGGTACCTGCAAGAGTGTTCATTAAGCATTTAGAGTTCTGTAAAACTGCAGTTACAATTGTGCTAGAGTATTTTTAGTATATACGATTGGTATCAGATTTATATCCCTACATGCTTCCAAAATTTGTAAAGCCGTAGTACATACATATTATATTACACCGGAGCCTACACAGTGCAATCTCCTCCAGTCGATCTGCGCCGCGTATGTTTATATAAGCGCGCGGCGCAGACTGGAGGAAACCACACTCTGCAAGTTCGATCCAGTGCAATGCTACATGTACGTACTACGGCTTCATCTCCAACTTTCTGCACAATGTACTGGAATGTTTTGAAGGAAAAGAAAGAATTTTAAGATAATGAAACAGAAACTGAAAGCTAAAATATATACCGTTCTAGAATGCCTCCGCAAACTATTGCTCCTTTGTAATGCACACGTGTTAGTAAGTGTAGTAAAAAGATAAAAATAATTCTGAGAGGGTGAGAGGTTCTTTAATTAGAGCTAATGATTAAAAGAGACCCAGGAATCGAGATTGGGAATAAAAATAAAAGCGGAATAAATTTTAAGATAATGAAACCAAAAATTGTGTATTTAGGTTGTTAATTAAAATATACTCCTTCAATTCCGACTTCCGGACTATTGTAAGTGACAAATTTGTCCGCATTATTTTTTGCAGGAAAATTCCCTAGGCGCGAACTCCAACGTTTTTGGTACTGTATATTTCGCGCAACACGCGACGCGACGCTATATAGTATATGGACACGTTCATTTGAGTTTGAGGATATCGGTAAACAAAAATAATAGCGTTTTTGACGATAGTGGCTTAATTTTGACATCTATTAACTTAGCACGTTCAGAAGTTCTGAACATTAGCCACGTAACTCATACTCCCATATGCACCGCTCAGAAAGAAAATCTATTGTTGTTAGGCACTATAATGTTTCAAATGTCACATTTTGTGTGACTTAGTTAACTACAGTTGTCTAATTATCATTCCTTGGTCTGAAATATAGTAAATTAGGTCAATCTAACAATTATGATACAACATTGGTTAATGGGCACGGATCGAACGGTTACAAGGCAATATTTGGGTAACTTTGTCACACTCATGATGCCATACCTCTATTCTACTGTGAGGTGTCCTAAAAACCCTTTCAACTCATTATTTGATGGTTGCTCTACCAATCATAGCCCTAAAATATGTTGTTTTGACTAGTTAGCTAATACAGGCACTTGGTTATTGGGAAATGAGGTTAATTCTGTCACAATATATGAAATTTTAAATTTTGGTCGAATTATTTATATCTGATTTTGGTTTGAAAGGTGGGAAAATTTTATATGATGACAATGTAGTTGATGCAAGTTAAGATCAGTTGATATTGTTTACATTATCACAAAAAATTATACGAAATCGTAAATAGATTAAAAACAATGATTATAGAATGAAATAGTCTCTTATAATAACTCTTGTAATAACTGATGTGACAAAGTAAACATGTCTTGCCCCTATTTTGAAGATCTATAACTCTATTAGAATTCAACATTCTTTCAGAAACGATTGGAAGAATATTGTCCAGAACATAAGAGCTCAATTTAAAAAATTTAGATTAATTTGTCAAAGACATTAAAAATGTGACAAAATTAACTTTCCCTGCCCCAACAGTATCAAGATACTGATAGTGTGTTAAAATTGGCATAGGATGCTTTATTACAGGTATATTAAAGTATTAATCGATCCAAACTACGAAAAATATATTTTAATCTGATGACGATTACCTAACTCTTATAATAACTGATGTGACAAAGTAAACATGTCTTGCCCCTATTTTGAAGAACTATACCTCTATTAGAATACTATGTAACTTTATCATCAACAAAATTTCGATAAACTAGTTATTTTGCCAGCAAGGAGCTAACAGAGTTATAATAATTTGTTGTGACGAAATTACCCTATTTTTGACCGTGTAGTGGTAGTTTAATTGTGACACTGTTAACATATTACCACCCGATAATGATTTATGTGACTGGTGCATGGTACTATCAGTGTTGTTTGATCCATAGTACGTAATATAAGGGGTTTAAGCTGGTATATCATTATTTGTTCAATTTCAGACATGTTCAGATATATCATCAAGATTATGTGACAAAGTAAACTTGGTTGTGCCTTCTGTGTTTTAATTCCTTACGACTATATGATATAATAACAATTCCTAGCACTTCCAGGCTATCAAATAAACTTACACTACTCAGCATTGCTTATCAGGGTGCCCTAAACATTCATCACATATTTTCTTTAATGTGTGACAGAGTAAACCTGAATGCACCATCTAACGAAAAAAGTCATCAAATATGTAGGTAATGGTCATATGTACCCATCCAATCAACTGGACACTAAAAAATTTGGTCAAAAACGGCAGCAAGGGGTCCATATTTACTCCGTCACATGTTTTTAGTGTGACAATGTAACCATTTCCGTGCCGGCCGTATTTTAGGGATATCTTATCACCTGATTAAGATATCGTTATGTGACAAAGTTAGCCTAGAGGATGAGACGATTATCCTAACCATCAAGGGTTTGTGTAATTTCATAGTGTGACAAAGTCAACTACACTGTGCCTTCTAATAGGGTCAATTATATTTACCAATATCCTCAAACTCAAATGAACGTGTCCATATAGGATACAAGGATACAAGGATACAAGGATACAAAAGTGATAATTATTTTATTGAATTCACAATAGTTATAATTCTGAAATAATTTAAGGTTACACAATTCTAGTTATTTACAAATGTGTAGGGATAAAATAGAAATGTTTTATAATACTATTTTTGAGGTCCTATAGCATTATGCATTGGCCAGTATTTGAGTGGAAATCTGGGCTCTTCTAGTAGGCTGTAAAATTTTCGTTCACAGAGAGAATTGAATGGATTGCTCTTGCTGTGGCAGTAAATTTTGTAGGGTCTAGTGTTTTATCGGATAGCAAACCGGCTAGGTCAGTAATATTTTTGGGATGGAAGTTAAATTTTTCTCTAATTGAGGAGTAGAGTAAACAGTCAGTTAGAACATGAATTTCGTCCTCAATAGGCTTAAGCCCCTTGCTGAAAAAGCAAAAAGTGCACCATCGATGTTCTCTTGGTACTAGGGGGGTTTCGTAACGGCCCCTCTCAATGTAAAGATTGTGGCAGCTAATACGAAACCTTGTTAAGCTTTTCCGAGCATCGGGGATCTTAACCACTCCTAAGTATGTTTGTGGTTCAAAATCATGTTTAATTTGATTGTAGAATTCTAATTTAGGTGAGGATGCCTTGGCAGATTTCCAGGTATCCACAAATTCTTCCCTCATGTTGTGACTGATTTGGGTAGAGAGCTTGGATTTTGAAGAGGATGAGTGGGGGAAGTTATATTTGGTGAGAAGATTAGAGATGTTGGTGTACCAAGGAAGGCCCAGCATAATCTGCTCGTGAAATGCAGCGGAGAGAAGTTCATTTTCAGTGCTTTCAAGGCGACTATAGAAATCTATTGCAAGTTTGCAGGCTTCAAAGAAGAGGGGGTGGCGCCCACTTTCGCCCCAGCAGCCTATATTTGATGCTTTTGAATGGACAGACAAGGACCACTTGATAAACTTAAGGTGGAATCTTTCATAGTGGTCTTGTGAGATGTACCTGAGAGTATGCTGGGGGTTGGCTTTGCTATCTGTTTTGGAGAGGTATCTCATGGTTTTTGAGTGAGGACATAAGATTTGGCAGCCATAGAGCAGTATCGGTTATATTTATTAATTTTATAATAGCGCGCGACGCAAGCAGTCGATATACGCGATATGCATGCCAGGCCACCGAGAGGTCTGCACTCAGCGGCAAACAATCGGCCCTTGAAAACGAACAGAAATTGATTCGATATGTACACTATACTGTCAAACCATTTACCAGTGCTGTGAATGGAAGGATTATGTTTGTGTTTCATATTTATTCGTTGGTATTCAACCCACACTAAATTCTTTATTAACAAATCATGTGTTTAACTAACTGAATTGTAACGAAAACCTGCACAGGTTTGGAGCCAGTACAGGAGGTGTCAATAGTACAGACACAGTCAATTATATCAATTACTGACAGATCTCGACTATTATCTACTACAAGTGGTGAGTATTTTAAATAAAATTCATTGCTGAAACATGAAATTATACCGTCTTTATCTGTTAATTGCACTTTTAATGATCATACCTTTCAAAATACCTCCGTGTCCTTTAATGAATTAGAGAGAGGTCGTTTAGAGTCTAGATACAAAAAAATGTAATACCTTAAGCCTTTAGGTACGAAGAGAGTAAGTAATGGCTTTAAAGTAAACAATACTGATTGTCCACATTTTAGAGCCATTAATTTGTCAAGAGGCAGTTCTAACCTAAGATCGACGAATCGAAAATGAAGACTGAAATAGGTACAATTTGATTTCAAAAATTTGATAAAATATTCAAACTGAAATTATTGACCAAAGCGATCGATCAGAAGTTATCGCTGAAAGTAAAAAGGTGAATAAAAAAATGTTGCTGGGGCAGCTGAAAGTGACCTTATAGTTAACTTCATGACAGAAAAAAAAAAATGTGAAGCAACGGACCAAAGTAGAAGTTTAAAAGTAATACGAGACGTATAGCTGTTAGGAACTTAACGCGAAAGTGGACCATTGTTAAAATATAAGAAACTTATCACTTTATCATATACCATGCACTGTTAAACTCTTTGTGTGGTAGGCTCCCTCTACTGAATTGCTTCCATGATATTGTTCATCGAGAGAAATTAATCAGCCTTCGCTTCGTGTTAAAGTTTCCGATCAATATAATATATGAGGCTACTTATTGATATATATAATTTATATTATATATCAATAGGTAACCTTATAAGCGCACAGGTTGTTATTAGTAATAGCTATCCTCACTACAGACCGATACATCATGTAGGGTGTCTTTGAATAAACTACACTAGCTACAAACCCGGGGTGACTGCCGACTGGTACTTGGTAGTGGTAGTGCGTGCAAACAACTATAAAACGAGTTCGTAACCTCAATCATCGCAAGCTGTCACGAATCTCGTTATTTGGTTAATATCAGGCCATATATAGTCTCAAACTAGGATAACAAGTTAAACGGTTTATGAGCTGCTATACAAAGCTGGTAATGGAGGGAATATAAAATAGAGCAAATCGAATAATTTTATACCTTGACAGTTTGACAGCTTGACACACGGAACCAAAGCCATAAATCAAAGCTTTTAAACGGATTCTTATTTAGCTCCACAAGATTACTGACTGTACACGCTCAATAGGATACCAACATTTTTAAATTTAGACTCTAAATATCTTAGTTCATGGGGCCTAACGTGCAAGTTTGACAATCTGGCAACAGGTATTATCATCGCACCTATCACCTATCACCTATCACTTGTATCAGTAACCTGTACAAGTGAAGCGTGCGGTGAAGTGGGGCTTAACTGTCGGTGCTTCACCGCACGCCTTTCAACCTGACAGCTGACAGTCTTTCTCGCACTTACTTTGGTACTCAAAGGCAACATTGTCTGCCCGAAATAAGTTTTAAAGATTTTGCTGTGTTGATTGGAAGGGTATAGGTTTAATCTATGTTAACTTTACTCACATTAACCCCTCTGGTGCCGAGGCTCTGGGTACAACGCTGTGAGCCACGACGTCCTGGGATAAGACGACAGTTGCCTCACCTGACCGAGCAATAAAAATTGAGCAATTCCAACTCGAAAATCACGGGGACATATTATACACCTTACTGCTCATAATCTCATCAACCCAGAGCACCCATAGCCATCATGATACGATTGAAGTTTCTGATGAAAGAACAAGCTGTTACTTTTTATCCAGTAACATCGTCCCCATACTCCAGTCTGAACACAAGATGTTCAACGAGACTCACAAACTGTACACGGCTGCGTCAGATTGTAATTATAATCTATTTTTTAAGACAAATTTATAGATCATATGTTTTACAAAGTAACATGCGACAGCAAACAATTACACCCTCATTGGACCAAGTATATTGTAAAATCGTTTCTTCTTGGTGAATACTTATAATGCCCAATTCTGGCATGGTCGTCAAAGTAAATTTAACTTGAAATATCCAAGAAATTAGAAATGTTGGAGCTAATAGACCAGCCTAAATGCATGTTGTTTGATGAAACTTTCTTTGAGAAAGATTACTTAGAAGTATTATGTTTTACACTATCTGTTATTAAGAATTTCAAAGTATACAATTATAAATGGTCAAAGTTAAATTATAAGGAATTTCTTCTTTTTTTTCTGACCCTATGTTTTCAGACTCGGACTGCAAAACTGAAGGAGACCCGCTTTTGACCCGAGTAAACACCAGCTCCCTCCCAAATATTCACTCTCAATCGGAAGGCCCCGTCAAAAAGGTCAGATCACTCCAGAACTCACTTCGGGACTCTAAGTTCTCAATCGACGGATCTGCGTATCGGAAACTTTCCGAGGAGGCGGAAAGGAGTGACGTACTGGAGTCAGGCGAATCGGTGTCTCTCGAAACCGAAGACATCCAGATCAATATATCCGAAAAAATCCCAAACGACAGGAAATCCTGGCTGCCGAGGATGGTAGCTGGGAGAAGGCTACCAGGTATGCGCAGTCGGTGTAAGAGTGAGAGAGCTGACGGGGGTCATACAGAAGTTGAGGTGATGGAGTCTCCTATGTTATCAGGCTCCGAAAGTAAAGTGAAAAAAAAGAGAAAGCATTTCTGGCAGATGATGAAGATTCCCCGGTACAGGACGCTCCTGCCGGAAACAGAGCAGGAGGCAACAGAATTTCAAAATGAAGAGTCTTCGTCTTTGAAAGAGGACTTTATCGTCGTGCTAAACGTGTCTCTTTCCAAACATTCACCATTCGGGCTGACATTCGACTGTAAAGACATGGTCCACTTGCTGGGTAGTTTGAAGCCAGTGGGGCTAGCTGTGCTACTCAACAACACGTGTCATGACGTCAGAAGTATGACGTCATCGCATCTGCAATACATCAGCGTACAACACTACTGCGGACTGACCTTCAAACTTCCCCTCCCCACTGACTACTGTAACTGTGTTATTGGACGAGAAATAGGTATCAATCTTAATGTTAATGTTGTTTTTTTCTTGACTTTGAGATATGAGTAATATTTCTGATAATCGACTCAATTGAATTCAAAAGTTCCTCAATACTTGACTTTTTGGATTGATAAGTCAACGGTTTAATTTGTTTAGGTTTCACGAGGAGCGTGATACAGCAGTACCAGAAAATAAGCACCATAGTCACGTACGTCCCATGTGATAACACGCGGAGAACACAACGTAATCCTGTTGATAACATGACCCCGTTAACTTGTGTCGTCAGCAGTGTCGTCAGGGACAAAGTCACAGGTAAATTTCATTAGTAGTGTAGTCAGGGACAAAGTCGCAGGTATGTGTCGTCATTAGTGTAGTCAGTGACAAAGTAACAGGTATGTGTCGTCATAAGTGTAGTCAGGGACAAAGTCGCAGGTATGTGTCGTCATAAGTGTAGTCAGTGACAAAGTGACAGTTATGTGTCGTCATTAGTGTAGTCAGGGACAAAGTCACTGGTAAATTCCGTCAGTAGTGTAGTCAGGGACACCGGACAAAGTCTCAGGTATGTCAGGGTTGGGAGCGGACCTTCAAACCTTTAAAAAACCTTAAAAATCGTGAAATTGCCAAAAAACCTTAAAAAGAGCGGTTTTAGCTCAAAAAACCTTTAAAAAGAAGAACAAAACCTTAAAAAGTTTTTGAGAACCTTAAAAAAGCGTTTAAAAAGCCGGAATTGGCATCTTCTCAAATTATACCTAGTAAGGTGTACCTTGGATTGAATTTGAAATCATACCTAACAAGGTATATCTCGGATTGAAACTCAAATTATACCTAGTGAGGTGTACCTCGGATTGGAAAAAATAACTGTGACCTTTTTTTTTTCCGATACGGAAAGAAAACTTGAAAAAACAACCTTAAAACCGCAGGAAACACTGGAAATACCTTTAAAAACACCGAAATAAAACCTTAAAACCTTTAAAAAAAGAGAAAACCTTAAATCACAACTCTGAGGTATGTGTCGTCATTAGGTTAGTCAGGGACAAGATCACATGTCGGTGACTATTATACGATTTAGCTTTAACCTTTAACTCTGAGAAATCTCAATGCATCACCCGTTAGTTGTGCAAATTTAATAAATGTTAAATAATTCTACTCAATTCTAATTCTATTCAAAATAATCTCCACGATTCAACTTCATACACCAATTCCTGTCAGATTCCTATTTAATTCAGAGGCAACATATAAGTGCAGTAATCCTTGTGTGAGGATAATTCTTGGTTTATACATCTTGGATTTGAATTATGATGTTAAACAAAACAACCGTGTAAGACAATGCTATATACTACTCTGTTGAATAATCCAACTTGAGAGTACTTAAAGGACGCAAATTTGGGGAAGTTTGTCAGATTAATTGCGGTGTTTTTTGCCTCAAAACTTGTGGCATCCACTATTTGCATAATATTACCGCACCTAAATGTTGCCTCTGATTTAATTCCTATTTACTTCCTGTTACCCCAGGTCACCGGCACATCATGAGTTACGGAACGGCCCCCTTCATTCTGAAGTGCTGTACAGACTACTGGACGGGTAAGGAGGTATTAGAGCTACAACCGGAACACCGAGCCAGAGTCCTGGAGTTCTACAACCAGAACAGACTGACTTGTCATTGTTCGGTTGTCTCGTACAGACCGCTTCTCAGTCAGGAGATAGCTCCACAACATGATGTCTTCTTATCACTTCCTAAAGGTTTTAACGGTGATAGGTCACGTTTCGAAGGGGATGGGGCATGTTTTAATCGATTGAAAATGTCTTACCACACCTTTAATTCCTTCATGTGCCTATATTAGACTCTTGACATAATAAATGATAATAATAAACCTTTTTATCCAGGTTACAGTTTTCTAGACGAGCTGTGTACCTCTCCCCTCGACCCTGGAGAGAACCTCCTTAAACTACAATCAGGACAGACTCTGTTGGGTGTTCTCTGTGCTCAGTTCCAGCCAAAACACGACATAGTCAGCACCATCGAGAGTCTGGTATCTGCCAACATCCGCTTCGTCCACTTCTCGTACGACAACGAGCTGCGGAGCAGGGCCTTCGGTACTAAACTGGGCCTGGAAACAGGCTGGAACTGTCACATATCCCTTGCTGAAGGAGACTTTGATAACTTCTCAGTGGACTCGGATTCTAACAGTGCTGAGGCGGAAACCTTCCACTTTTACTACTGCAAAGCTCGCCTCCCCCAGGGCATCAAAAACATCCGACCCCACCTGGTAAACGTGGATAACGTCCCACTTTTAGTGCCACTTTTCACAAGCTGTACTCCAACGGCTATAAAGGAGATGATCTGTATAATGCAGGAGAACCACGAGCTGGTTTGTTGTATTGGCAGCTCCCTCCAGGTCAACAATTTCGGTATCTTCCTACAGTCGGATTCAAGTCTGGGCATGATACCTCACCTTCCTCAGAACTGCCTTATTTCAGGTAAATTGGATCAATGATGAGTTTTGTGAATATCGATATGTGGCCCTCCTTACACTTCTCTTTATTTCGACTAAATATTAAAGATTTGAGAACAGAACATATCTTTTTGTTAAGATTTTAATACGGCCACATTAGAGATTTTCTTATCACAAAGTCTTGGTAGGTATCAAGGACATGAGTGTACCCTGGGAGGGTGGAAACTACCGCTCTCCTCCAGACTCAGACCAAGTAAACTGTCTCCACCTAACCTCCATCCTCAACACCCTGCCCTGCAGTCTGGTAGTGTCACGTGACAGCTGCAAACCTGCCGCGCTCATCCGAGCAGCACGTGGCATGTCTGTTGCGGTGAAGCAGTCTGGTCACGTGACTATCAGCTTGTATTGTGCTGTAAGCTTGTGGGCGCTGTGCCACCAGGTTGTCCTGCTGCCTCCACCTGTCTCTCTGCCTCAGTGTTTGTTCATATGTCTTATCATCAATCCTATCCTTGCTTCAACTCCTTTCTCTCTTAAACAGGTTATTTTACTTAATTACTTTACTCTATTACTTTACTCTCTTTTTTACTGTACACAACACACTCCCGTGTAACTTGAAATCCTTATCACTCATAATACGCCTATGAAAAAAGATGCACTAAAATCAAAATACCGCTTTCAATTTAACCTCTGTAAAATTGTTTGTTAAATTGACAAAACAGTTTGCGACGATGTTCATGATTTCAACACGTCATAACCGCAGGACAGTAAGATAATGAACCTACATACTGGTAAAAGAGAAGCGTGTATAAGAGGAAGTGCCGTAAGACACCTAAAACACTTTGTGTTACGGTGGGGAGGGTTGCTACTAACATCGCCTCTAGCTACTGCCTTCTCTCTAAAACTACTTTGTACAGAACCCTGCTCCCTGTTCCTTGGAACTAAGTTAGTCTTACAAAGGAAACTCCTCATGATTTAATCTAGTTTTAATTTCAATCCTGTTATGTAGAGCTGTGTTGATCACGCGGAACTGTGTGATTTGTATTTTGTAATTTGCTGGCTTAGCTACTGACCGCGATAACACTACAATTACTATTTTGGCAGTAAATTCATCCTTATTCACAGAGGTACAGAAAGGTTCGACAAGGATTCCACCCATCTGGTCCAGTCCTACAACTGTATTCTTATCACAGTCCTCTTATCGCTACACTCCTTCATCTTCTCTCACAGGACAAAACCTGTTAACTTGACATACTTCCTTCACACTGCCACTAAATGGACTTACATCCTTCCCCTTATTAGGTTATAACTTGCCGGATTTAAAATTCTAAAATATCTCAATTTGTCGTTTCCTCATGTATGTAAATATTCCATTGTAAACAGTCAAGGTTGATAAAATTTTAATATTACCAAATGACTGTGTGATGGAAACCAAATATAAATTTTATTGTGCAAACCTACCTCTAGAATAACATACTGAGGCAAAATGGCGAATTCTTTGAATTTCAGAATTTTATGTTGCAAAATTATTTCAGTTGCATGCTGGCAGTTTTGGCGGTTCTAGTGAGTGGTGGATTATCAGGTCCCCCTCCCTACCCTTTAATAATCATCCTCCTCTCAATCCCCCTCATACACACTGGAACTGCTCTACTCAGTAAAAAGTACGATCAAAAAATCTGGACTAGGGATCAGAGAAGACAAAAGTTAAAGTTCGGTACGAAACTCGGCATGAACTCACCGTTCTAGACTCTAGAGGGCCTTTAATTAGGGATTAGGATATGGATATGCACAGCATTCAGGCTGCAGAGTGTTATAATTATTTGTGTGTCGAAACAGACATCTCTCTGGTATGTGGTAATACCATTCGATATTTGATTTCTGTACGAACAATGGGTTATGTTTAAATGTTCACATATTTATACTTTAATTTTCCTGATTGATCTCAGTTTCGTTACGTTATACTGTATACGCCTTTGCGACTGATTTATAATATACTTAATGTTTTGATGTATGACTATAACTATTTATTTATTTTATTTTGTAAATATTTTTTGATTTGAAACAAATTTTTAAAGATATTGTATTTTTATCGTTAAAACCGAAACAATTAAATGCACAGATTAATTTCAAATATCAATAAATACTAGTTCTTTAAGTGTAGATTTTAGCAGCATGACAAACCTCGTTTCAACTAAATCTCTCTAAGAATTTTTAAAAGTTTTGTGAAAAGGGTCCTGACGGTATGAATTTCTCGCCCAATCTTGATCGACTTACCATGGGGTCATGTATATAATAATATATCGGGATCTAGCGAGTGAATTAGTGATCTGTAAGTGTAACAGCCGAAGAATCAGGCCACGGCAGCTACACATGAACTTGAAGCAATCACAAAGTTAAACATAACAACACGTCAACAGTAAACACTAAACAGTAACCAGTAACAAATGAAGCCACGCCTATCATTTGCGTTGCCGTGATCAGGGCCGACACATAACATTAACATACGTGGTAAGGGAGCGTTCACATATGACTTGCAATGACGGCAAGATTTTGGCAAATTTAACCCCCCCCCCCCCCCACCTCCCCCTGTCAAACTTAATAAGGCAACAAATTAGGTATAACACTATTTCTTCGAATATATTTTACTTTGTTAAATGATATTTTACTTCATCAACTGAGTTAGAGTTATACGAAATTGTGACTTAAACTCTGAAAATGAAATAATTAGGTCTCATTATTTATCAGGTAATACAAATTTACAGAGCATTAAATTAATATATCGTCTCGCTGTATGTAGTATTATGGTACGGCACCAGTTTGTCGGGCACGTGGTAACCGAGTGACGCAGTCACGAGGTACAGTCAGCTGATAGATAACGTGACCTATATTAGCCAGCGAGAAGGGCTGGATTTCATGCTCAAGCAAAATTAGATTCACATTTCACATCGGTAACTCGGTAATCTGCCGATGCACATCTGGGGCACACCTGGGGCACAAACTCGGGCACACCTCGGGCACACCTCGGGCATAAAGCACACCTCGGGCACACCTCGGGCAGAACCACCTGGAGCACACCTGGTGGTTAGATATCATTATTTATATTACTTATATTGGTGACAGTATTAAACTATATGTGTGCCCGAGGTGTGCCCCAGATGTGCATCGGCATATTACCGAATTGCCTTCACATCCTTATAGTTTGAGAGAACAGCAAGGGTTGAGTCAAGCTTGAAATATCACTGTAATCGTTGGAAATTACAGGAGTATCTATCGCAAAGGAATAACTTTCATAAAGGAATTTAACAGGAATTTAACATTTATTCAGTACTGTACTCAATAAATGTGATCTATGAAATACAGTGCTCAATAAGTATCAATAATCAAATCGTCACGTGACAAACGTGCGCTGTCCAATAGCAGTTTGGTAAGCTGTCATGTGGCGACCACGAGAGTAACACGATCACGATGGTAGCAGCATGGCATGATGCTCAATGGACAATGAACACTTTGGGTCGGAAGTAGATACCTACCCTTTTTAACTGCGGCAGTGAAATCCCGGCCGAAGGGATTAATTAAAAGTTAAACCGACTTTTAATTAACGGGTTAAAGTATATTACAAATTCTAAACATTTTGTTGCATTAATGTAGTCTTAAACGAGTTTGTTGTCTTAATGTTGTTTTAAATGAATTTGTTGTCTTAATAATGTTGTCTTATTGTTGCCTTAATTTTTGCTTTAATGTTGCCTTAATGACAATGTTGTCTTAATGTTGTCTTATATCGTTTGTTGTCTTATTGGTGTTTGTTGCGTTAATGTTGTCTTATTCTTGTCTTACTCTTATTGTTGTCATAATGTTGTCTTAATGTTGTCTTATTGTTGCATCGGTGTTCGTTCTAGTTCCCAAATAAATTAGCGAAGTTTTATTGTTAATCAAATTGATTTGAAGCAACAATTTTTGTCAAAATTCGTGTATTTTTGCTGACGTCAGACCCCCCCCCCTCCCCCCGTCAGCAACCGTCAGCATTTCCAAACCCCCCTCCCCCCTCGGCTGCTGACGTCATATGTGAACGCTCCCTAACTCTAAGTGAGCACGTAAAATATATGAACATTTCCAGATGATCGAATTCGAACTAGTATCAACAATTACGCAACTCATAACCATTATAATTACTAGCAGGAATCCGTCTAATCCTATAAGTATAGTGGTGTCAAGTCGAGAGAGGCTAAAATAATTATTACCCATTTAATTCGCGTTTTTGACACCACTTGGGGTCCAAATTTTGGGCACTAAAATTATTATTCCTTGGCCGAATTTTCATTTTTTTTTTCATGCTGATATGAACGCCATTAAAGCATTTGAACCAGTCAAAAAAGTTTAAGTTGTATATTACGGTCCCTTTAATAACTCACGTAATTCTTCTTACTCTTAGAATTGCACAAAAATTTCAGAGATTATACTTATAGATATGGGTCAAACTTATATTTCCTGAAAGTTTCGTCAAATTTAATTAATTACAGTGGGTGTGGCACGCCAATCCCTCTTTTTCACTATTGTCACCATAAAGTGAGAACGCTTTCAGCTAGGAGCTTCAAAGTTTCTAGACATATTTGGTTTCATAATTGAAGTGCTTTCCCAAAATTTCAAGTTGGTTGTTCACAATTTAACCGAGTTATGACCCTTTTAAGATATTGCAGATACGTGACCTCGGCACTTAATCAGTGATTCCGTCACCCAATCAGTAATATCATAGGGAGATATTCGCATCCTATAAGCAGTCTCCAACCAATCAGGGATCGCTTTTCCCATTCATTCACGGCTTACGAATTGTAATAAAGCTTTATTACAATTCGTAAGCCGTGAATGAATGGGAAAAGCGAGCGACCGATTTCATTCTCGGTATCAATTTGCATTTTCGGACGGTTATTCAAATTAATATCATTTCCTTTTGTTTGGAAAAGAGAGACACTAGCAGCGGTCCACTCTACCCATGATTATGGGTTTTGGTCAAATATACTAATATATATTAATATATAAGGAAATTTAGACACGTATCAATATCATCCATCAATACCCAAGATAAGTCTAGTTTTTTATTTTAAGTAATCAGTATCACCCTGTACTGTAGCCAGATTTCAAAGCAGATTCGAATTCGATAATAATTTTGCAGGTAATGAGTCTATAATGTGCGAAATTTGCCGGATAAGAATTGATAATTTGATCAACAAACTATGTTTTGGTAGTCCTCTACCACAGTACTGCCTAACTAACTCAGTAACTGGTTGGTATCGATAATCGGTATATTTGTTTTCGTAATGGTATAACTGTATAATTAGTTAAAGCTGCTTCCCAATTTTGTTCAGGAATATTCTTTTGTGTTTAATTTTGACACGTTCGAGATCGAGTTTACCTTTTTTTCTGTAGAAAAATCCTATAGCATTGCGCTATGGTATTAAATTTAAGTTAATTTATGCAAAAACTAAAACATAAAGCGGAAAGCCGTTACACTTATATCAATTTGTATCATCGTTGATGATCTCTTTTATGACTATGAGTTGATCCTTCATCCTCTGATCTTGATAACATAGGTCACTTTCCAGCTTTAGGTCTAAAGTATTGGTAACAGAGAGATTTGTCTTCACTTCAAATGAACGATAAGACGGAAGAATCTAAACCATTATCGATGAAAGAAGATGATGAAGGCAGTGAAAATCTGTCTCCAGAGAAACTTTCAATGGATGAATTGGTTGACAGGTTAGAAAACATTTTTAACCACACTGATTGGGCAATTAATTTCAAAACAATGATAATGCGGACCGCATTATCATTGTGCGGTACTAAATTGAGGTGATAAATGCAGTACTTGTTAATAATAATAACAATTTTTGACATCTGTTGTAATACAGTAATGTATGTGATTTTCGCGTTTTTCCTCATTTATTCTGATCATGGATATTGATTGATACTAAGATTTTCATATTTACGAGAGTTTTTGAATTTTGGTCGCGTAATTTTGATTTTATTTGATTTTTGAACAAAATCTTTATTTAATTAGATTTCACTTTGTTTTTGACCAGTGGCTTACAAGCTTCTGGGTCCTGTTTTGAATTTTTTGAGTGGATTGTTAGGGCCCTGGCATTTGCCGACAAAGCGGTTTTTATTTTTATGTTTTATAATCCTGTTGATTTGTAAATACCGTTTTGAAAATTTTTCAAATCTAAAAAAATCTAATCTACTGAGAGGTTAACTTTCTCCTCAGGACGGTAGGCACATCTACAGGGCGATACGTTGGATTTCTCTTCCTGATGTTTTTGGTTTCTAAATCAACCGCTTCCATGATGTGCTATTTGCCGGTCTTCACTGGTAAGGCTCAAAGGCTTTCTATTATTTATAATTATAATTATACAATATTATCTTTCAAGATGATCATGTTGGGGAACATTTTAGTTTTTAGCATAAAATTAACATTTTCGTCCGTCTTATTTTAATATCGCATAAATTATGATCATAAATACATCTATGGTCGATAATGTTAAACTTTCTTCAGGCTACATACCGTACACGGACTGGGAGTGCTCCTCAGAACAGTGTTTTTCCCTTCTCCAGAACCACACTGGAGAAAACAACACATTTTACACCAGAGATACTATGTGTACCAACAAACTTAAAGCTGATGTCGACTTTATCTGGACACCAAAACGCTCCAGTTATGCTGTTGACTTTGGAATTTACTGCGGCACAGAATCCCAAAATTCCAATGTCAACAGTTTTTACTTTATAGGTGGTTTCGTGGGGTTGATAGGGAGTTCTACTTTATACGAGATGTTCGGGAGGAAGAAGGTTACACTAGCGGCTGGTTTGATTGCAGTCTCTGCAACCATCGGCATGGCATTCGCAGGAAACATACAGACCTTGTGTGGCTTAAGGATAATGCAGGGTCTCGGCATGCTAAGTTTCGTAACGGGACATTATGTGTGGGTAATGGAGTTCACTCCTCTCCGACTGAGAAATCTTTCCAACACCCTACTGTCAATCACCTGGCCTAGTGGTACTGGAATCCTTATTTTCATCTCCTACATGGTTACTAACTGGAGGTACAACATCGGGATTATAGCCATTATCTCAATCCTTTTCTACATACAACTTCTGATTTGCCCTGAGTCACCAAGATTCTTAGTTTACAAAGACAAAGAGGAACAGGCTTTGAAGATTCTGAACAAGATGGCAAAATTCTACAACACACCTCCGCTCCAAAGTAATGTTCTCCAGAGAGAGGTTGAACAGAAAGGTAAGAGTGAGGGGCTTCTAAAACAAATGAAAGATTTCATCATATACCCAGTGATGTTGAGGAGGACGCTCTTTCTGATGATATGCTGGTTCATGGTCTCACTATTTTACTACGGGCTCAGCTTCGGGTGGCACAAAATGGGCAAGAACATAATGGCAAGTCAAGGGTTCGCATGCATTTCCGAGGTTGTAGCTTGTACCACAAGTTTCGCTCTAATTGGTGCAACAGGAAGAAAGAAAACACAGATGCTGGTGTGTCTTGGTATTGCAATCTGTTTCGGGATTGCCATGATTGACGTTCCGCTGTCTTCAACATGGCACCTCCGGCAAGTGGCTTGTCTCATAGCTATCATATTTATCGGGGCCGAGTTTATCACAGTGTTCCTGTACACGGTTGAGCTGTCCCCAACCTCCCACCGAGGCATGATATTGAGTTCGTGTTCCGGAGTTGCAAGAATTGGCTCCTTTCTCGGCCCTTACCTCAGTCTTCTTTACAACGTACTGGATCGCAGGATCGTGCTTGCGATTTTTGCTGGAAGTGCTGTGCTGGCTGCAGTAGGGACATGGTTCTTGTTGGAGGATACTACTGGTGTTGAGATACCAGAAACACCAGCTGATCTGCAAGGAGTGAAGAGGCTCCGAGAAGAGGATGAGGACATTTAGTAGGACAAATAGTTGAGGACAGATAGTTAGGACAAGTAGTTGAGGACAGATAGTTAGGGCAAGTAGTTGAGGACAGATAGTTAGGACAAGTAGTTGAGGACAGATAGTTAGGACAAATAGTTGAGGACGGATAGTTAGGACAAGTAGTTGAGGACAGATAGTTAGGACAAGTAGTTGAGGACAGTAGAGAGGCAAGAACTTTTTACTTTTTTAAGAGTTCGCGAGTAAACTCAACAGTAAACATGCGGTGAACTGTGAAGTCACTGCTTAGGCGTATTAACATGATTTTGATTCGATCACCGCGCCGTAAGTTAACCACGAATTATCAATTTCCTGAATGATCGCACATGTTTTTATCTGCTGAGTGACCCCTATTATATTTATTTATAATACTATAGTGTCTAACAAGTTCTAAATACATCATCTTGTCAAATTTTTCAAACAATACAGAGTACAGAGTATACACTATACATTACTTTTAAATAACACCGATTCGTTTTAAATAAAACCTACACAGTAAACACAAATTAAACAAAAAGTGAAACGTCTTTTTGCAGTTTATAGATTATTATACACTGGTTTGATCCAACATGAATCACTGATTCTTGAGTATGAGCGCCACAGATTTAAGTTTCCAGAGTGCTGGTGATCCCGGGCAGGGTATCCTGATAGATGTAACTTGTTGCTCCCTCAAACTGTTGTAATATACTGGTGTCTCCAACTGGTTGTCTTTATTGCCACCCTGTCCAGCTGGTACCCAAGCTACACTACAATTGGAGATTGGAGAATTGGAGGGTGAGTCTCGGGCACATTCCACCAACTTGTGACCATCAAACAGAGCCCCTTCAATAGTCAACCCCTCGATAGTTACCGGGCATTTAGCTTTGCTTAGTCCCGAACTGGGTCCCCAGTGAGAAACAAACTCTAAACTGTTGATCGGTAGATTCAGTCTCCGGGCTGATTCCTGTCTTAAAGCATTCAGGAACACTGCAGGGTTAAATAGTTCTGATAAGTCGGCAGGGGATGTGAGCAAGGCACCAGCCTGACATCTCTCCACCCAGCCTCCAAGCGCTAAAGTCTTGCTAACTAGAGATCGTAGCCAGTGTATAGGAGCAACAGGTCCTTCCCACTTCCTACACCAGGAACCAGGAACCTCGTGCTTCAGAAGAGCTGTTGCGTTGTCTTTCACATCGGTTGTCAGGAGTAGAGTTCCACGTATGACCTTGCTGATTCTGGACAAATCAGTGTGGACTAGTTGCAGGAGTTTGATAGCAACTTGTCTCTCCAGAAGAAGGAAGGCCAGTAGAGGTGGGTCATTCTCCCCAGGGTTCGGGATCTGATCTGAAGATAGCTTCACAAGTTCACTGCCCTGGTTTAATCTCTTCCATAAGTGTAGGAATGGGGACAGATCCTTGGTCCAGCGGGCCTTGTCGAACTGTTCGTCCTCCAGGTTAGGTCGGGAAACCAGAACTAGCTGAGATAGCACGCTTTTAGCCACGCTTCTCTGTTGCGATCGGTCTACGTTTTGGGGTAGGTTAAACATAGCAGGTGTATCAGTTTCAGGGAGTGCTGTGATTGCTTTCACGAAGTCTTTGTGGTTGACTGAGAGTGGGAGTTCCAGGATACCAGCAAGCTTCTTCCTTCCCTTCCCACCCAGTACATCCCGGTCAAAGTACTGGTGAAGATAAGCTCGGAGAACCTCCAGATCGTAGTTGTTATCTACCCTGCCTCCGAAGACTGCGTTCTCAAACAGTCCGTGTATGAAGTCCCATTGAATGCTGCCAGTGCTGGTGCAGAGTCTATCTATAATATCTGCACCTGACCTCAAATCAGCGTTACTGAACTCGTAGAACTTAGTCCAGCCCTGAGGAATGAAGTTTCTTCTCTCCTGGATGATAGCGTGGAACCAAGCAAGAGCGAACAAGGCTGGCTCCTAACAGGTTGATGTCCCTTCTCAATAAACTGAGGAGTCCACGCCTCGTAGGTTCGGAGCAGATTCTTTTTCACGCCAGGAGGCGACTCGTATGTGACTTTTAGAGAGCTCTCAAGTAGGACTAGAGGGAACTTCAGGTGCGGTTCAGCTGTCAACCACAGTCTGAAGTTTTGGTGTGGTTTGAGAGCATTGATCTCTTTTTCAAGCACTGGCGCCCAAGCTATTACTAGATGGAGGTTCTTCAAGCACAGCCACATTCCCTTCCCAGCACACTCTCTCAGCTGCTGCAGCGCGTATAGGGACTGTCCCTGGCCCATAGCAACTTGAACGTAGTTAGTGGGTCCCACAACTTGGTGAGCAAGTTCCTGAAGCTCCTGACTCACGTCAGATCCGGGGGAGATGAGGACGAGTATGGGTTCATGACATTTGGTCTGCTCCTGGTACAACCTTTTCAAGTTGACAACCGGCGGTGACAGTTCCCGGACTCCCAGAGCTCTCTGAGCAAACAGCTGCATGCTGCTGATCAACCTATCTGGTCTGAGAGTCTGGACTATCAGCAACTTCTGAAATTCAGACACCTGACTACTGACACTCCTAGGAATCTCCTTTTCGCACTCCTTAGCACTTCCGAAGTTGCTCCACAAGTTCTCGTCCTCCAAGTGTAGTTCTCTAAAGAGAGCTGGAGTTGCTGACTCCAAGAGAGCGACTGCTGGTACCAACTCTGCTGATATCCAGGAGGGGTACTTCTCTGCCATGGCTTGCTGAGACTCTTGTCTCCTCAACATGGTATCGGTTACTATCTGTCCGGTTAGCAGCTCCCACTCGCTCTCGTTGAACATTTCAGGGTGCATGCCATGCACCAGATGCAGTGCAAACATCAGCCGATCCGCTTTGAACAGCGACCTGCAGATACTCTCATACAACAGAACTTTAAGAGTGGCCACAAGCGACTCGATCCTGTCTTTGTCTCCGCTGGAGGTTTTAGCTTGGAGCGCCTCCTTAAAGACCGTCAAGAAAGAAGTCAGACTGAACCTGTACATGCAGTTCACAGAACTCAGTGATTTAATCACGAAATAGAGTGTAGCTCCGGTCTCCGCTAACTTCAGGTAGATGTTCCGTTCCTCGTCCAAAGACGTCTGCAAGTTCTGAGACTCAGTCAGCGCCTCCATGATCACCACGCTGTTCTTTTTCGTCTGGTTTAGGCTCTCAATCAGAGACTTGTTCTCCAAGATACTGCCCTGAGCGTTTGCCAGCTCCTCAAGTAACGACTCCTCCAACTTGTTCAGCTCCACTTTCTGGGATTCCTCTTTCGCCAGGAGGGCGCTCTTCCTTTCCTCCAGCTGTGGTTTCTCGTGCTGTATCGTCACTGCCAATAACTGTCCTGTTAGTCCAGCTCTGGTGGTCGAGAAGTTCACGATACTCAGCAGCGCCACAGAGCTTGGTGGTAAGTCCGGTTTAGGGTTTCGTGTGGTCAGGAACAATTTGAAATCTTCATTGTAATCCATCAACTTTTCTCCAACTTGAACTACAGATCTTGGACCGCTAGATATAAAGTCACCTCTGAGTAGAGGGAATAGTGCAGGATCTATAGTGTCCATCTCCTGGATCAGAAGAGTCTTTCCAAACCTGACAGCCAGCTCAAGTGCTGTCATAAACCCATTATCATTAGCATTAATCACCTCAAGTCTTTGGTTCTTCAGGTTTTCTTTTAACCAGGAAGAAGCCCTGCACGAGGGATCAATAAGGAAGGGGGTCCTGGTGCCGTGCAGTATTATCAGGGCGTTCTCAACTGACAACGCATCAGAGGGTAACCCTTCCGCTTTCCACTGTAACTGCTCACTCTCAGTGGACAGGAACCTGTTGAGTTCAAAACGTGACACTCCCACCTCTTTACTCCACTTCCGTACTAGCTCCGCCCTCACATCCTCAGGATATGCTCCAAGGTAGGTGATAAAAGAGGCCGCTACCTGGGACAGGAGGGGTAACTCCTCCAGTTCTGATTGGAGGACCTCTACCTGACTTGTCCACCTCGTGTGTTCCCCAACAAGTTTCCCAACCAAATTTTCAGCAGCAGTGATAGTCTCCGTGGCCTGGTCCAGCTCAATGGCAAGCCTACTAGCCTCAGTTGTTCTCTTGTCGAAACGACATCTCATTTCCGCCACCTCCTGTTCCACAACGTCCAGAGCCTTCTCGAGATTCTCCACTCGCATCTGTGACTTCTGCACCTTCTTCATCAGCCCCCTCTGTTCGCCTTCCAGTGGCCCTATCTTCTCCAGAACGATGCTGAACTGTACGTTAGCTCTCACCCATGATGCTAGCGGGGCACATGCAACACTTGCTCGCTTGGCTACCTTAGGGTCGAATGATTTCTTGTTCTTTTGAAGGAGTGCTTCGACTGAATTTCTGATCTCTGGAGCAATCTTTCTCGCATCGAATGATATAATCTCCTCTTTCACACCTCTCTTGGCAAGGAAACTTCTCATACTTACCCAGGAGGTGTCGAATATACCCATCAGCTGTAGAACTCCTTCCAAGATATCCCTGATCACGTCAGGAGGAGCTCTTAGGGAGCGGATCTCGGATAGAGCCTCCGATTTGATGTTGCCAACCGCTGCCTTAGCCTCGTCAACAAGCGGTTGAATTTCCGCCAGCTCGATGTCAATAGCCTTCTTTCCTTTGTTCAAGTTTAACTGTCTCTTCTCCAAGCTTACCTTTCAGTACCTCCATCTCTTGTTTGTTTTCAGAAGCTTGTCCTATTCTTGCTGTGATCTCATTCAACGCCTCGTCAGCCTCCTTCTGCTTTTCCGCTAACACTTTGCTCTTCACCGCAGCCTTTGCTTTCAGATCATCCACCAGAGTTTTTGCTTCGTTAAGTTTACTAACACCAGCGATCAGATGCTCCTGCTTTTTCTTGATGCCCCTCTTCTTCGTATCCAGGACTTTGTTGTAAACGTCCAGTGAGGCCAGGTACTGACGAGGAGTGCTGTCTGCTACAGAGTTGTGTATCAGGTGGAACTTGCTTCTCTCTTCTCTATCTCTGGTATCACCATCCTGGGTAGTCGGGCCATGGTGTTGGGAGCCCAGCTTTCCAGCCAGATAAACTGACACTTAGTATAAAGAGCTGGGTTGGCTTCACATTGTGGCCTGAAGTTAGGGTTGGAGCTGTCTAGGATGAAGACGATGTGCAGATTTCTCATTATCCGTCTGATGAAGTACTGGCCTAGTGTGCCGTCAAACTCATCTGTCTCGAGCTGTTCTTTGAGAGGGGATATGAGAGTATCTAGCTCCTCTGGTGTAAGGAGACCCGGCACTTCTCCGGAACAAAGCAAAGAGTTGATGCTCTCCAAAAAGGTAGGATCTAAGAGCTGATGGTCCTCTAACAACAGCACTACTTGCTCTCCCTCCACTCCCGCCGCCTGGACACAACTCCTCAGATCAATCTTAAGTTGTTTGAGAGAGTAGTTCCGGGACACTTTCGGTGAGATGACCTGCATTCTGTGCATGTGAGCAATGACAGATATCGCGGTTCTCCTACCAACTCCACTTCGTCCTGCTAGAAGGAGATTACCACCGGGAGCCGTCAATACTCTCTCTACCAGTGCCATGCTGGACAATACTTCTGGGAAGAAGTGAAGCTTCAAATCTCGCACTTCCCTGCTGTACACTTTAGCTCCCTTTGCAATGATCTCCTTGTAGTCTTTACTCGAGATCAGACCCAGAGTTTTGCCATGTGGGGAGGCAACAGTCACTCCACTCGTATCACCATACGTTACAAAGTACTTTTTATCCAGCAGGGAGATATCAACTCCCCAATCGCTGCGCAGCACAGTTGCTAGGATACCGTCGAACTTCTCCACATGTTGCTGGCTAGCCAACTTGTCCCTGAAGAGTCTTCGGGCCTCGTAGGCCCAGGCCAGGAGGAGGGGTCCTGAGGTTCCGTGCTCACTTCCACTCACTGCATCGTATCTGCAAGATAGGTGCATTACAACAGGAAGAAACGATTACGAAACTAAAATAACCTGCGCGTGTTTTAGATAAAAACCAGGACAACAATTATTCCTATTTTTCAATAATCATTACCTGGTGAGATTAAGTGTCCACATAGTGAGATGTCGGGGGTTGAAGATGTAGTGAGGGTACATATCTGAGGTAAAGTTCTCCCTGACCTGCTCGTACACGCTCATCATACTGCTGGCTAGAGCCTGTACGCTCTTAGGCGCCACCCATACTGGGTGATTTGACACCTGGATTGTGGTGAGATTAACAAAAGTAGAAGAAATTGAGGCTTTAGCGACAATTAAATTCGATCAAAATTGGTTTTTATAATTAGTATTCATTTGAATAATATATAGGTCAATTACTTTCATCCGCCAAAATAATTCGAGAACGCGTCTCAGTACAACTCACACAATCACACATGTTAAGTGTTAAGTAAACAACTTAATAAGGTAATTATGAGCAATTAATTAACGTAGTACAGTTAAGTAAAAAACAACAACCTGGACTTGAAGGAGAGGGTAGAGGTAGGCGCTATACACGGAGTGTAGCTCCTCGCGCCCAGAGTAACTCATATACGCCACGTGCATAATACTCGTCAGACGTGGAGACAGCTCGTACCTTCCCAGAGTGTTTCCTGCAGACATAGTCGCTACAATCTGAACACCCTCCAGATTAACCCATTCTAGGTTATCCTCGTAGAATCCCCGGTAGGTTATAAGTTGCTGTAGGAAGGAGGATAACATGGAGGTGCCCCAGGAGTCAGGCTTCACCAGGTTGATTCCTTTCAGGAACAGGACTAGTTTCTCTGTTTCTTTTGGTCGGAGTACCTGGATCAGAAATTTAATGAGAATATTATTCGGTAATTTAGTTATTTAGATCCAAAAAGGATGTTTTCGAAACTAATAAAATTTAGTAGCAGTTTTAATATAGTAAAAATTTCGATTAATTATTGAAATCAATTCACACGAACCCGGCCAACGTTGGAGCTCATAGTTCTACAGAATTGGAGGAGTTTCTGTAAGACCTGTCTGGGGGAGGTCTCGGAGCTGCAGTGAACTACCGCAATACCTGTACTGCTCAACTCCCTGCGATAAAGTGCGGTATTATAGTGCGGTTATTTTTTGGCACAACAGCGGTCACTTCATTTATTTACGCATACTAACAGTAACACTATAGCTATCGAGTTAAAACTGGGAATAAAGAGAATAAGTCATCGATTACCATGGTTTAAGAAACAAATAGTGGTAAGATACAATATATCATCAACTAACTTGAACATGGTCTGAAGGAGGAGACTCTTGCCACTACCCTCAGGTCCCACCAGGACGAAGGGTTCCAATTTGGAGATCCAGGGGTCGAGAAGATCTCTGACTCGTTGTGTGTCACATGTGCTGATTAGTGGAGGCTGCTCCGAGAAATCTTTGTAGTTGCAGTCCGGTACCTGTATAAATATACTGTCAATGTACTGGTAATAATTTCTTATTTCTTTATTATTAGCAAACAGCAAATGGCAAGAAATTCTCTTGAAAGCAAACAGAAAATGGCAAAGATTCATAAAATAGCATACGACATGCATGGTTTTTACCGAATGAGATAGTTTTTAAATATTACGCAGTTTTTTTAAACAAAAAAGTAAAATTATTGATATGGAACCTGGAGTTGGTATGTCTCAAGTCTCTGGGACTTGGGGGAGTAGTAGGTATCCAGTATAGCTGACATGTCGGGTACAGTCTCGTTACCCAGCTTGAATATCTGTGATAAATTACTTGTGAGTTTGTGCCGTTACTTAGTAGGAACATTCTATCGTTTCTACACGACTCCAGTCTTTGTTAGAAGACAATTCCAAGTCAACTCCAGTAAAACATCTCTCTCGCCCCCGACGTATATATTCAGCTCTATCAAATTGAGAAATTTCTAAAGTCTTAACAATAAAACATAAAACTTCACCTCTTTAGCCAGACTTTCCCGTTCAGTAAGAGGCAGGTTCGCTCCGAATCCTCTGACAAGACCACACAGAAACTGGGGCTTGGTCCTCGCCCCAGTCAGGTGAGATAGTCCCATGTTTACAGTTGCAACAGTGCTCCTATTCACTACAAAGTTCTTTTTGTGTCGATGACACCTGGAGTGGAGATGTAATAAGTGTTGTCAGGAAAACTGTGGTTTGTGTTAGCGGTGGAAGTGGAGGTGAAGGTGGAGAAGGGGATAAGAACTTGTGATAGAGGAGATTTTATCTAAGTTTTTTAAAAGAAAGTAAAATACTTCATATAGTTCACAAATCGGGAAATGAATTAACAAAGTACTTACCAGGCGAGTCCTTTGTAGAAATAGTCTTCAATCCAGTTCTCCAGGCTGTTATTATCAGTCTGCTTGGACAGCCAGCTCCCCACTATAGCCTTTATATCCATATCTTCGTCATTCAAGAAGATCATACCTGGGCAGGAGGGGTTAAGGCCACAGGGGGGGGTCGAGGCTTTAAAAAATGCAAAAAAACATTATGCTTTGAATCAATATATATTTTTGTGGTGGATACTTTGCCACCACTCATTTGTCTGTAGCTATTTTACTTTTTTTTATAAATGAGGTTAACCAATTCTCATTTAACCTCATTTTTTTGATAAATCGATAATGGAGGGCAGAAATATTGATGCCATTACAACTGAAAACTACGATAAGCTTTGTTTTTATTGTTTTTGTGTTATTTCAGCAGTTAAACTTTGAAAAATATACAAATAAAGGCAAAATACTCAAAAATCACATAACATAAAAATCAGTTTTTTGCCTCTCCTGAAAACCTCGAATTTTTGACTTCAAAATCTATCTTCTCCTAGAGTTTTTATCCATTTCACCTCAAATTTGGAACTTATGTTCCTGACATAAATTTAAAAGATTGTTATGTAACGATTGTTGTAATTTTGCTCCTAACTCTTATTATGAGGTTAACCATTTTAAATTTTGTAACCCGCACTCATGGTTAACCTCATATCTCAGCTTTGGAGCAAGATATCATAAATCGTTACATAACAAAAACTCAAAATACCTTGAAGAACATTGTTGCCAAGTTACAAGGTTCTAAGTCATAAACTGAAAAAGAAGATAGATTTTGAACACGATTTCATTTAAAGTTTTCATTTACAATAGAATTACAGGTAAACCTCAAAATTCAACGCGCGATATCTTCAAATAGGAAACTTTGTTTTCGGTAAGGACAAAAGCATTTGAAAATTTAGATCGAGCTCTACAACATATCTCAAAATCTCAAAATCGACCTCGGACCCCCCCCCTGTGGCCTTAAATACTGAATTTAAATATTTTGTTGATTGATCATTCAATCGATACGGCAATGAATTCTTGACAAAAAGTACCATTACAAAGAGCCAATAACAAGAAAAATTATTATTTTAAATCTTAATATCAATAAAGCCCCCAGGTATATTAATACCACAATTTCGGTAGACAGAATTAAGTAAATTACCCATTCTACTGATTGTTGCAGGAGAAGCACAGCTAAGATCGTGACTCTCAAACAGGAAGTTGACGTTTGGTCCGAACTGTATTCGCTCTCCACTAGGCATTGTCAGCAGTCTGTGGGGAATAGCATGGTAAGACAGTGGTTATTTGCACTCCACTGGACAGAGATTAGAATAACACACGATGATTTAGCTTATAAATGAATGGAAATCGAAGAGACTGTAACATTCATGATTCATATGAGAAAGCTTTGAATTTTGATATGAATTGTCTCACGATTCTAAACTTTCTCACTCATTATAATTACCTGTTGTCGTCCAATACGGAGTTTAGAGACTCAATCCACTCTGGATCAATGTCACCATCACATACTATCCAACTTTGTATGTGAACTGGCTCTTTTACTACCTACAAAATACACAATCAGTTGAGTAACAATGGCGTAACAGTGGCGTAACAAGGTAGGGCATGCTAGAGACATTTCATGATCAGTGATGTAAATAATGTGCTGTAAAATAACATGATGAAGAACCGCAATAATAATACTAACGCACCTGTCTTGCAGCGTAAGTAAGAATACCATCACTCCACTCTCTAGTATCAATATCAATAGAACCCAGCAGTTTGTGTCTTGGCAGAGCTTTAGGGTTCATAGTGTACACCTTCACCTCCCTCCCAATCTTACACATGGCAGTTTGAAGTGTTTTCCACAGCACAGTCTTACCACAACCAGAGGGTCCCACCACTACAACTCCCATTCGTTGTGATAGCTGAGGTGGTTGTAATTTGAGATTTTTGAGATTCACTTATGATGAGTTCAAACTTACTATTTAAGCGTAAGCTTCCTCTTTAACCCTAGAATTAACAAACCTGTTCATGAAGTTCCAGTATTTTCTTTGTTTGAGTGTCCATGGAGACTAGGTCTTGTTCAGAACATACTTCCTTGATAGCCAGACGAAGAGCTTCTTTCTCTATATCCTGAACAAGGGTTGTCATGGTGACTGGTTGATGAGCCTTTAATTTTCCCGTTTTTTAGGCAAATTGTCATACCGAAGTATTTCTGTTTTACCAGATCTAACCCCCTCCAAAAATGTAAAAAGTCAGCGGAATATTCAAGTCTGTGAAAAGTAAGTTACCTTGTGATCGATACCAGGAAACACGTCTTTGAGAAGAGAATCGAACCGTTTCGAGTCCGCAAAAGTAAGTTTAGAGAGGGTATTGAGTCTGAGGGACTGAACTGAAACTTCCTGCTCCATGGTTGGTGTGACAGTTCCTGCTTGTTTTGCTATCTGGAGGAGGTTACCTGGGGGGATTTCGTATTAGGAATTCAGCTCCTTATTTCATTAAAGCTGTAAATTAGGAAAGTAAGCAAAAACGTTACCTTTTGAGAGGATTGTCTTCAACAAGGAGAACAGAACTAACCTGCGCTGCTCAGGACGGTTTTGATAGCTCTGAGACCCCAATCATAATGCTGTTGAGGAGATAGCAGCTGTTTGCTGAGCGAGAACACTGCAACCAGCTTACCAGAGAGCTCCTCCGATGTCTTGAACCCAACACTGCACATTATTACCTGTAAAGACTCGTTACTTTTTGGGGGGAGTATGTTTCGGTAAGAAATGTTTTAAATTTGATCTAGAGTCGGTAGTTTTCCGAAAATAGTTTCCTAACTTTTTTCTTCTAGTGCTTCAGGTACCCGATCTCCAAGTTACATATCTAAAGAATGCTAACCTCGGCGATAAGTTCATTGTCAGGTTTTGTCATGGCAACAGGTCTGAACAGCTGTTTCAGGTTATCAGGAAGCTTCTGGCGTCCACCGTATCCTTTTCCAGCCGGGTTCATCGTCACAAATATTCCAGTGTTAGGATCCAACTTAACCTGAGATCATGAGGGTTTGAAAAGGTGCTTCAGACAGAGTTTTTATCATGTCTTTAGATATCAAAAATAGTTTTGATGGAAAAAAATGATCGAGACAAAAATGAGTCTGAAGAGTGTTCTAAAAACGTTTCACCTCTGATAGAACTCCTGTAAAACAAATCACAAACCTGCTTGTCCATGAGTTGAAGTGTTGGAGTGTTCCTCATGATGCCAGCCTGGATAACCTGGATCTGAGTACTAACTGCTGACAACACGGCCTCTTCCAATCTGTTGAACTCATCAAAACAACCCCAGGCTCCACACTTCACCAGACCTAGTGTGGGAAACGTAATTGAATAATTGATTTTTTCAATTGTAAACCAAAAGGCGAAAATAAAGTCTACGATATTTTAAAGAAATCATTCCGGATCTACATGAAATTTACACCACAATAACGAAATACACTAGTCACTAACCAACAAAAATTCGGCCCATACTCTTCACATCAATACCCTCATCACAGTTGAACACCAGGACTTGCCTACCGAACATGTTACCCAGTGCTTTGACAGACTCTGTTTTGCCAGTACCAGCTGGGCCGTATGGATTGCCACCCATTCCTAAGTGCATTCCTGATGCAAAGTAAAGGTTTATATATTGCTTTTATTGCTTTCAGAAATTCGTATTTGTTCTTTCCGTTTGAACACGTTGATTATGTGCAAGGTCTATTTTCCGAAAAGGTTTAATATTTATGAATATTGAATATCTGTAATATATTTGCAGCTTAGAGAAGCAATAAACTATACAGCACAATAAAAAAGACCATTATATTTGCCGTTAAAGTTGAATTGTGTTTGACCTTGAGTAAGAGTAAGGTAGCACTTGTCAGTGAGCGGGGTGTGGACTAGTTTTGGAGCTGTTCCCTGGTATTCGTAGGTGTACTTAAACTCCGTGTCACACATTCTCATAACTACTTGCTGAAACATCAGGGGGTTATATCACGGATACAACTCTCTCGGATTATAGTTTAAAGGTAACGGTGCAAAATTGGCATCCAAACTGATGGTTGTATTTGACAATTAAGATTATTGTAATACTGTAACATCAAATTTCGGCTACTTACATCCTTCACAAGGTAGAATCGGAGTTGCTTCTGCCAGAGCCAGTCCCCAATACTGTTAACACCAGCATTGGCTAACTTTCTCACCACATCTAACATATGAACCAGATCCAGAATCAGAGATCGTAGTTTTATCTGCAGAACTATAGCGTCCCTGAAACAAAAATAGCAGTAAAATCATGATTAAGGATAGACTCTTAAAGTCGAGCCAAAAGTTAATCTTGTGAAATGGTTGCTATTTTTCGACGTTTAGACTTTAATAGCTTTCGTTACAGTATGAAATGGTTAAAATAGAAAGCGCGAGCGGTTACTAGCAGGACATAACAGTAATTTGAAAAACGGAAAACGCGCACTATTTTTACTGGCACAGTGACTGCGCGCAACTTTTACTTTTGTAGGTAAAATATAATGCGGAAATCGCGGCCGCAGGTGAATTCATAAATTGTGACCGAATAGGGATTCCTCATAGTGGAACCATTTTCGAAATGTCATGTCTCATGAAATATTTTCAAAGGTTTTTCCAACGGTGAGGATTCATAGAGTCCGCGTCAACATCAGACAGCTCCTAGAAATTGGAACATTTCGGAATTCCCTGTTGACACTGGAAACTATGGAGATCTGTATAAAACCCATTAGGGACGATAGGGTCGTTTACGAGCCACCTTTCTAGAGGCTATAGAGGACAAACCAAAATACTAAACGCCACGAATCTTCATCACGTATGCTCAAAATTTATTGGGATACATTATGGACTTTCCAGTCGAGACCCAATTAATCACTAACAATTAAAGAATTAGGCTAATTAGTTGGAAAGTATTTCACCTAACTTCTTGCCTTGATTGGGACAGTAAAACTTTATGTAGGCTTATTTTTTTGAAAACAAAATAGTTGTGGGCAACGATTTACTAGAGACTTGTGAAAAGCCTGTGATAATCAGATGTTCACAAACAGAGCTAGACGCTGTTGCGATCGCAAACGGCCCACTCGTCCGGGTCGCAAACGACCCATCACGGTTTTTCGGCTATTACTTCTGAAACAAAGACGTTAGGATAAAATAAAAACTGTAGCATAAGTTAAAAACATATGGTCAATACTTTGTGAACTATGACTCCAACTTTTTTTAAATAAAGAATTTATTTTTAAATATTGATTAATAAAATACATTGTTGTCAAACTTTTACAAATATTATTATAGAAACATGTTATATCTTGGTCATTGCTCCTGTATAGTACGTTGATTAAACTTTTAAAATCGATCAACTGGGTCAATAATAACCCAATCGAAAGTTTAACCGATTTTTCGCAGTTTATGATGATAATCACTTGCTGAGTGAACCGAGTGGGTCGTTAAGTCATTAAAAAAGTTAGAGTCACACAGTATTGGCCATATGCTTTTAACTTATGTTACAGTTTTTATTTTATCCTAGCGTTACGTCTTTGTTTCAGACGTAATAGCCGAAATACCGTGATGGCTCGTTTTTTTTCCATCGCTATATCTTTTAAAGTAAACGATATACAGATTAGCTTTTTCAGATATCTCATTTTTGCTGTAAAGTGACCTAGTGTGTTAAACGGCATCAAAATCGGCAAACTTTAAATAACACAACTCTGCTATTTCTAAGTCCGCTTAGAATGAATTTTGAAAGTACTATGAACTTCATAACTTCATCAATTTTACCAACATTTGTTTCGACTGACTGTCTCTTGAAGAATTCAAGATTTTATTACAGTGCTCATTTCTGAATTATTTGGTTTCAGACCGACTCTATATTATGTTTTAGATATTGTTATTTCCGCATGCTGTGCCTTATCAGTTGAAAATTTTGTGGATATTTATTTCGCAAATATGTTTGCAACTATTAATGCGTCATTTGCCAATGAAAGCGTGGACCGATATTAATAGTATTTACGGCAGCATCTAACCTTGACCTGAAAAGTTAGTAGTTCAGATCTCATTAAAAGTAACAGCTCTACTTACTTACTTACTTACTTTTTCTCTACAGCTCATTAATAACACACGAGTCTGAACTTCACAATGTATTCTATGTGGCCTCCTACAACCTGAGTCCACCTGTTAACTTAAAACAGCATACCACACACTTTTTCTCTGGTTTTTATGTTTAGTACGTAGTAGGGGTAGTAAGAAGGAATTTTTCACATAGACTCAGCAACACTAAATATCGAATTTTCGAGTATCTTTCTCGCTAAAAGTTGAGCCCCCACCCCCCCCCCCCCCCCCCCCTTTATCCCCTCTTCCGATTAATTTACGTTCCAACTTCCCACTAAAGTAACAGAAATGACATTTTGTGATTACTGCGGAGCAGCTAATCCCGACATGAAGCGTTGTGGAGAATGTCTCTCCGTACGATACTGCAACGAAACATGTCAGAGAGCGCACTGGTCTGATCATCAAATAACCTGCACTCCCATAACCGAATCCACCTTTGATGTTACAGACCCCTCCTCTGAGGCTACAGACCCCTCCTCTGAGGCTACAGACCCCTCCTCTGATGTGACAGGAGTTACAGACCCCTCCTATAATAACGGATCTTTTGACACGGATAATGTTGTTAGCGTGTGTCCCGTTGTTGACGACCCAGATAACTCAGGGTTTGGGGTTCTCAGTTCCCCGTCCTCTACTGGAAAACTTGTTAACTATCAGACTGGCAGGACCTACTTGTTTGATAGACAGGAAGTTATCAGGAGGTTGGTTCATTTTCGTTTTTTACCTCTGTCGTTTGGAAAGTTTATTTTACTTCCTTCCCTGTTGACCGGTCGGAGTGTCCGTACAGCTTTATTTTTGTACTTTTCAGTAATCCTCATTCTATTACTCCACAATCCCAACATAATATCCGTAATGTCAGGTACAAAGGGGTGGAGCAGGAGATGATAGTAAAGATACAAGTTCCCTGGACTGAAGATGGACACCCGGAGGTAAACAGGGAACTTTGGGTCTACGACAAAACAAGAAACTTCACTGTTTGTATTCTACCAAGAGATCCTAACTGCGGGGTTATCAGAAACAAGATATTGTCAGAGGGATTGCCTTGTATTAGACCTGGCAGGAAACTGTATTTTAAAGCTAGGTTGAGTAGAGAGTTTTTGTTAAAGATTGAGTTGGATAAAACTGTCATTGCTAACTGGTAGTGGCTTCAAAATAGGAATATTTGTTTTGACTATCTGTCAAACATGTCACTTCTTCTCTAGAAATATGTCAGATGACACAAATATGTCACTTGGTGTTAAAAATGCGCTACTCTATAAATTGACAATTCTCTAAGATTATATATATCAAACCCAAAATCTTTAATACTAAGATATCGGCAGAGTCTGGTAGAATGACAGGTTCTGCGAGTGTCAGCCTGTGACAAAGAATTCCTCATAACATCCATTACAGGGTAATTGTCACCTCTAATGTATAAGAATTCCACACAAGATATATATAATATGCGCCAGTTCATACTCGTATCGGGCAATGTTTGATGAACGTACCGTGAACTGCCTTGATAATCAATGTGATCTCCTTTCCTTTACACGGAGATATTAATTAATATGGAGTCAGAATCACTCGTTCTAGACTCTATAGAAAACCACAACAAAAGCCTCTGCTTCTTCACGACACGTACACTACATAGATCTATATAATCTATATTCTATATTCTATATTCTATAATGATACAATTCGTATATTTTGGTCCAGTAGTACTGGATTACATAGATTTGGAGTGTTGTAATTCCTTTCGCCAGGTTTCAGTTTCATACAACTTTTTTACCGTCATATTTGCTTTTTAAAACTTTTAAGATTTGAAGAAAATTCATTATAAAATTTTGAATGTTAATCTCGATTGTTTGAATTAAATTGACACAGTTTTAGTGTACGAATATGGTGTTATCGTAATGTGACATATACTTTGTACTGTTACACTTATAATATTATAACATTGTCATTACTGAGTCACTTCACAACCAGTATTATTCTGCAGAACTGTAGTCATAATAATACAGCACGGCTAGGTATCTGTAAAGTGGAGAGATTAAAGGCTTAAAAAGCCCAAAGCCATGTAACAATACACCGCGACCGTTCTGAAGAAAATAATAAAGTTTCAGAGATGACTAATAATTTTAACTATGATATAAAGACAAATAATGGCGCAGTAAGAAGCATCAGACTGATGTCTGATTGGCCAAACTGAACGCAACTGAAGTACATGCATCAAGTAATATCATAATTATAAAACACCATATTTGCATATTCTTGGTGGATAACGAAATCGCTTTAGTAATTCTATCGCCATGACTGTATCACCAGGCTGCGGACTGCGACTGAATAGTATTGCGTTAATATGATTTAAATCTGACGCATTTACAGTTTAAACGACCCTATATCAGGTATATTAGTCATTTTCTGCTCAATTTAGTAAACACCCTTCAGAGTCGTCGCCCGAACCGTCATATATTGCGTTACTTCTGATTCACCCTCCTGGTTTTTCAAATTTGTCGCACGTTGTTTCGTTCGACGTGTATCATACCTTTATTATACCTACATGTATTGTATGGTTTCTGCTTCTATTTAGTTTAGTGTGGTTTACAATAAAAGATGTTTTAATTTTGTCTTTGCCTTATGATGAGTTATACTTTAGTTCACTTTTACACATTTGCTCACATCAATCACAGTCAGCCGCTCTGACATGGTTAACCACCTTCCTTGTGTTGTTGGTTAATCATATGAGCGGGATATAAATACCTCATTTCATTTCATTTCATATTATTAGCACGACTGGAGTAATCGATTATACTAAACAAATTACAACACTACAAATCTATAACATTTATTGAGAATTATGTAATGTATCGTGATGGAAATATTTTAAACGGGCATATCCTGTCCAAACCCAGGATGTACTACATGAAGAATTCGTTGTAACTTTGTTTCAAAAGCATTAATATACACCTAACCCATAAATCTGAATGTTTTATACCAAAAAGATTGCGCTTGAAAGTCATATTTTTATTAATTGAGAATTTTTGTCCTCAATTTTTGGATAGTTCGTTTTACTTTAACCTTGTAATATTTTGTTATCTATATAACACGTGGTCAGTGCACGAAACATATTTTGGTATGTTTACTAAATATTAATGTTGCCCACTTCCTAACTCGAGGGAGCTGCAGACGTCACGCGAATATTTAACTTTCTGGATACTACCATAACTTTTGAAAATTGTTTTTGCCATTACGACACAACCGAACACAAAACAGCAAAGTAAAAAAGATGACTGAACAATGAAGCCACGCTGAATAACTGAATAATTGCCTCTTGCAATTATTGGTACCATCCTCCGTGCGGTTTAATTGATATCTCCTATTATACTAGGTTGAAGTACAAGTAAATTCCGCGCCACATTTCATGTAATAATTTAGTATTGTCGTTTGTCATCAGCACAAAGAAAACTGGTAGTGAGTGTTGAAATTGTAGCAGTCAGTACTGAGAAAAAAGCCCGTATTGTTTCTTCATCTTGTTCTGTTTGTAAGAACAAGCGGACACAGGCCAATTGCCACTGCTATCCGAATAGTCTATCTTTAATACAACTTTTCCACCCTTTCCATTATTTCCACCCTTTTCACACCCTTTTCAAAGTCGTACAACCGTACTAATTAAACCCAAGTCGTTGAATATTTCCCTTAATAATTGTGACATATTTCCCATTAATTGTTCGCTAATTGCTCATCAACTGGCGTAATCATGGACGGTTTGTGTCACGGCATGTTGGACTTGTATTCAATTGACACGTTTGAATCGCTTTGAAGTTACTCCTGGCTTGAAATGCAAACTTTTCTATTTCAGACCACTGAATTTGTGTCTTATATCAGAAGACTTCCCTCTTAAAGTAGGAAGCCAGAAACCGAGAGAGAGAGAGAGTCTTATATTAGGGGGTCTTGTTTTTTCGTGTGGTGATCTCACTAAAACGTGGCGCAAGCTTTTCTCTGGAATTTTCTCATGATCACCATAATATCTTTTCCTTATCTTTTCCCTAAATATTTAAGTATAACAAATTTCTCACCTGTCTTCAGGACCAGTAGGGTTAATATCAGTACTGGTGTAAGAGTCCAGTTGTCCCTCTAATTCCAGTAAATATCCGTTTAAATCACCACCTTTTAGCGCCTCCTCACACCGTTCAGTAAAGAGGATGTGTTCAGCCACACTTAGTACTTGACATGGGTACTTTGTAGGACTTGCTGAGCCTGATGTGATTATAGTGTTGGTTTACAATTTACTTTGCTCCAACTTCGTATGATTGTTTGTTGTTTTGCTTTGAAGTTTAATCTTGTTATTTGTTAACTTTAAAACTAGACCAGTATTGAAAACTGAAAACTGCAGCAAAATTGTATATAATTAAAAGTAAGAACTTGAAAATTGCAGCTACCCGACGAAAGAAATATCTTTAAAACATTTTAAAAGCACGTACCATTCCTGTGTTCGTTAACGCATTGCACGACCAGATGCTGAAGAGTAAGTTTCATTTGTTCAGTCAGATCAGATAGCCAGGCTTCAACTTGGGGTACTATCTTTACAGGACTGACAAGGGGCACCGTCTCACCGTCCACTGAGTACATGCTCACTATCGTGTTCTTATCTTCACTGTGTGTGTGGAATGTTCTGTTAGTTCAAGATAAGAGAACTATTTGTTTTGACGTAACGCTGGTTGGCTCTCCTTTGATTGATACATTTTGTATTTATTGAGGAGCCTGCCTCATTAAAATTAAGCACCAGATGCCCCTCGAAAGATAAAGGGGGGTCAACCTCATTTTACCTCATTTTACCTCCATTTTACCTCATCCCAATTTTGCCTTTTTTGGCTGCCCGAATGAGGTAAAATGACCCCCCCCCCCCCCCCCCCCCCCCCCCCGATAAAATATAAAAATGTTGATTATTGAACTAGAAATAAACATTTTCGTAGCTGTTTGTGTACCTGAAGCCGACAGCGTACATCCCAGCGAAGAGTTTCTTGAGATGTGACTGAATAACGACAGGGTTTGTGGACTGCCCCAGAATCTCCAGTAGATCATCGTCCCCAATAAAGTAGAAACGCGGGAACGCACTACGCTTCTCTTCCAAGAATTCGTTCAGTGATTTCTGGCATCTGCAATGCAATAAAATTATAATGGACGATAATCATATTTTGACACAATAGCTGTTCGCATAATTAGTAAATTATAAATTAGGTCGTATGAAAGAAGACCGATGTCCCAAATAAGCGGGTCCAACGCACTTCTAACTTTCTAACGCAACGCTAGTGCACTTCTAATTCACCCCTAAAGGGACTCCAAGGGGACACGTACTGTATAAAATGAATAAAGACCTAATATGCCGATAACCATGAATATGGTACACCGAGATATCTCACTATAAAAGGTTGCTTAGATATGTAGGAAAACTACAATAATATATACCGCATACGGTCCGTATTTCTGATTACAACAACTATAGCAGATATACTGCAAGCTGCAACCTGATTGGTTAGTAGAGCTATATACACACTTGTTGACTTGTCTGCACTACTAAATTTCAAACCTCTGGAGTTGATCGAGGATGTTAGCGAGTTTATCGGATAGAGATGTTTGGTTACAGAGGGAAACAAGGCGATGATCTCCCGCTATTCCGTACATTATCTTACGGTATTCTGCGTCAACTCTGTCAAATCTAGCCTGCAGAATATTGAGTGTGCTGTTAGTGCTGGAGTTGTTAACCGCCTGTTGTGGGGTGTTACTGGTGTTAGTGATGTTGTATTTAATGTTAACTCTATTAAATCTAGCCTAAATATTGTGGTGTTTGGACGTTTGTTGTTAGAATTTTGTTCAGTTTCTCGTAATTGAGTGCCAGAAAACCCCCAAAAGCACATTAGAGAAAAGCTTTGAGTGAAGTATATGACGGTGAAACACAGCCATATATATTTTCAGACCAGGAATTTTCACTTTGACGGCAATTCAATTGTGTGTTTCTTTGTAGTAACAAATAACAATTGAGAACAAAAGAATGGAATTTTCAAATTCATGGCGATTGATGCACAGATTCGATAACACATGTATAAATAGCTATATAGTTCAATCATTTAACAATGTTTTAAGGATTCTGAAGTTTTATCATTATAATTTAATCCCAGTTTTTTGTCTTTAATTTCTGTCAGTTATTTATTATACGAGTTTGGGACAGCCACATCAGCAACTTTAATGGCCCGTATTATAGAAAGACCAGACCAGAAACCTGAACTAAACAAGAGGCGACTGGTGAACCTAATCCCCTTGACTTGTCTTACCATACCATAGTTGGTCTAAATGACCATAAAACAAGATTATGGCACCCCTTAATCTCCTTCGCCATCGCAGCAGCTATATGAGTTTGCTTTCTTTTGTACCCTGTGCACTATCAGTATTTCTACACGGCTATTTTTTTCGTTAATAACTTCACATTTATTACAGTTATTGGTTGGTTGGGTATATAAGCCGTCCCCAATCTCGTATCGGAAAATTGTACAACTCAACTCTGAGTGTAAATACGGGTGGAAGCTGCAAGTGTGTTTATTAATCATTTAGAGTTCTGTAAAACTGCAGTTACAATTGTCTAGAATATTTAGTAATTTGGAACGATATCAAATAGTGGTACTTGCACCAATCTTTACGGACATGTGCTGGACAAGTGTTGGACACGACAACCAGTCATTACAGTTATTAATATAGTGTAAAAATTAGGGTATTATCAATTTGGATTCGTACCCGTTTCTAAGCTCTAACCATATCAATAGTTTTGGTTTTAACCAAAACTATTGAATTGGTTAAATTATATAGTTATATATATTATATTAAAATATAATTCCTGGGAATTGAACTCAATTTCAAAATCCCACGTTTACCACGGCATTATCGACATTCGACATGACAACAGTTTAACAACATGACAACAGTTTACCTCCCGTGATGTATCATTAATTGATATTTCCAAACTAAACGAACTTCAAAAAGTCATTATTTCACGTCCCTCTACTCTATGTTGAATGTTGATCATCTCTTTGTACCTCTTTGTCCTGGGTTTGCACAGGATATGCTCGTTTAAAATATTTCCATCACTTTACATCACATAATTCTCAATAAATGTAATAGATTTGTAGTGTTGTAATTAGTTTATATTCGGTCTGTGATAAAGACCTCACTTATCCCATTGAAACAATTGATTTGAACTCTTGAAAACTCGACCTCACGAAACTTCCATATAACTGCTTTTTATACACTGTACCCTCACCGTAGTATAATTATTGGTACTTACTTAATACTTACTTACTTAGTATAATTATTGGTATTTTCCGATTCGACAATGTGTGCTGTTGCGCTCTAGCACAGCTTTACGTACGTCGTACAGCTTTAGTTTTTGGACGGTTCATTTACAGTTGTTGTTCCCTTTTCAAGTTTTATTTTCATTAGTTCTTGTACCCCAACAGCTTGCTAAGTTACGACAGCAAAACCTTGACGATATTACGGATGACTAATGCGGTTATTTCAGACTTTTCAGATTAGCATCTTTCTCTACTTCGAAGCGAAAATTGTGTCTAGTTCACGAACTAGAAAATAGAAAATTGTAGTACAGAAAATGTTCTTGTTGCCATTCTCATTATTGATATAACATTTAACAAGCACGTGGGAACTGGGAACATGATACACCGCGTAACAACATGGTATATCAGATCACGTGTCGTCATGGTGAACCACGTGTCGGCATGGTGAACCACGTGTCGGCATGGTGAACCACGTGACAATATATTAAACCACGTGATAACATGTTGCGCCACATAAAAGCAGAAATGTAGCACCGGCACCAGATTTCTGTTGACGCAAGTATTTACAGTTTTAAATCGTTAGAAGTGCACCCGCAATTGGAACTCTCTCTATCTGACTCTACCTCTAAATGGCCACAAAATGTACTAAATTGCAGTCATTAGCTATGAATACTATTCATCCTGTCTAAGAGCAAGTGCTCCAGTTCTTAGCCTCGTAGATGTTGGCATTCTAATGTTCTCTCAAATTGTATATTACATGTTTTGTTTTTTGTTTTGTTCAGGGAGCAAACTTGCCACATATTAGGTCCAAGATCGAAATCAGAATATACACAAGGTGGCCCAGAGTAAATCAACACCCTGTATAGTGTATACCGGACGATTAGTTTCAATGTGCTAGAATATGGGACACACTCAACTACCGCCTCTATCCCTAAGAAAACTGAAGAGTCCACAAAATCTCCCTTAAGTAATTTCAGCAAGAAAACAACAATTTCAAGAAAACAACAATTTTATTTAGTATCAATTAAAGCAGACAAAAACATATTTCATATATATATAACTAGCACGAACTTTAGATCAGATATTTTAGGGGACTTGGAGTAGCAAGAGATTGACTAAAAGGTATATAACTTTTACAAAGATACGTCGAGAAGAATCCAGGGTGATACAGGATCGGAGAGTGCAGACCAAAAGTTTACGCACCCACCTTTGCTTCCTGAGTTCTTGGTTGGGTAGAAATTTATGCAAACTTGGTCGTTTATACTCCAAGTCCCTTTCTTAAAAGAAGTAGTATTAACTATGTCTAGAGTTAGCTTCGTTCAATTTTTTTCAGCAGATTATGAACCACTCCCTCACTGACCTGGATATATATGCAGGGTAAACGAGCCGATTGACAGTAAAGAGCAACTATAAACGCCATATTAGGACATAAATTAAAAACGTGACGATTTCATTTCCGCATAGTTACTCTGTTTCCTTAAACAGTTGACAAATTATTTTTCTTGAACAATATAATAACAATATAAAGAGTCTTCGGGTTTTGGAGTGTTAGACCATAAAGGCATGAGTTCATACTCTTTGAATTCTTGTTTGTGTACCGTCCGCATCTCAACCAAATAATTCCTTGCAGCGAGATTGACTAATTCCATATTGCACTTTATTATCCTCATCATTACTTGCTAATAGTCCACGTGATGTTTTGAGACAGCTGACAGCAGTTTATTGAGGCATATAACGTTTATAAAGCACTAAGTACAGCTTACATCTCAAAAATGTAGCTACATTTGGGTGGCATCCTGATTGAACTGCATGTCTCGACCCCTCGTACAGCTTATATCTCAACAATGTAGCTACATTTGGGTGGCATCCTGATTGCACTGCATGTCTCGACCCCTCGTACAGCTTATATCTCAACAATGTAGCTACATTTGGGTGGCATCCTGATTGCGCTGCATGTCTCGACCCGGATTGTTAATGTGATTATGCTTCCAAATATTCCTTATTCAAATAACTTTATACCACAATCCGACTTATATCAAGCTTGTCTCTACTTCCTAATCTCTAGTTTCGCTATGTGATTCACTTTGTGGCTTTGTTCGTATTTATTAATGCCGACTGAAAGGTTTGACTTTAGAAGCTTGCTTCAATAGCTTCTACATTGGCTTTGTATCAATGATTATTACAATGATTGAATACCTAAACTCGGAAGGGAAAGTCTTAAAATATATATGTCTTTAATAATAATATTATTTAAAAAGGACTTTATTATTGGAGGACGTTGCGTGGTTTATTATGACAGAACCCGTCGCGTTTGTCATTCTCCTTTTGGATTGATATAATTTTTATATCAATATCTTTTATAATGTAATTATATGTTGTAATTATATGTTGTGGCTCATTTCACGTTGGAGGAAACACCTTGATATTCAAGGTAGCATTAATTTATTCAGACGGCATTTCTGCGGAAACCACGCACCTAATGTACTGTGACTTAATCAAGTGCATCATTCATTGTTTTTATTTTCTTCAGAAATCAGAAATGTCATTTCTTTGTTTTATGTGAGCAGATTTTGGGCAATCTGTAGTGTTCATAGTGACAGTGTTGGTTATCTGGCTGCAGATTATTTTTCTGTTCCTCTAAAAAGCCTACGTCGCGAGAAGTAAACATTTTGGCCTACTTTGTTTGTTGTTATATGTGTGTTTGTGACCCGTCCCAATCTCGTATTGGAAAATGATCCAACTCAGCTTTGAGTGAATATTGCGAGGGTATTCATTAAGCGCTTAGAATTCTGCAGATATAATTGTGCTAGTATGTTTACAAATTTGGATGGATATCAAATTAGTGGTCACCCTGGGCACAGCCACTTTTAGAAACAATTTCACGAATACTGCGACATCATTGTACTGTTACCTGTATGTTGAGAACTTTGAACATTACACGAGGAAATATGGACAGAACTGAATAAGAACAAAAACCACATTCAAAAATACTGTGATTTTCCGGCTTTGAAGCTGACTAAAGAAACTAGGGAATTAATTTTACTTTCCTAAAAATTAAATCGTTGATTTTATTACCACTTTTTTTAAAACATTCCAGTACATTGTACAGAAGGTTGAAGATTTAAATTTTGGAAGTATGTAGGGATCTGATATCGATCGTAAATACTAAAAATACTCTATCACAATTGTAACTGCGGTTTTACAGAACTCTAAATGCTTAATGAATATTGAATATACTTGCAGGTACCACCCGTATTCATACTCAGAATTGAGTTTAGTCATTTCCCAACGAGATTGGGACGGGTTCTATAAACAAACAAACAAACAACACCTATGTTGAGATTCGTTAAGCTTTAAAAGGGCCATCACATTGTGTGACCACCCCACAGAGAGGAGATCTGTCTGTCATTCCTACAGCAAATGTTAGAGTTCTAAGATAACTATAGTTCGATGATAATGAGTCACAATATCCACATTACACGAGTGTCTGACCACATGGCAGTGAAAATATTGAATAATTATAATCAAACCCCACCAGACTGTGTGATCATTGTTTTTATACATTGTTTCCGTAGATTTGTCCCTTTGTCCGTAGATTCGTCCGGAATTTGTCCGGAATTTGTCAGTTAGAATATGATTGATTGAGGAGCACTACCCGGGGGTAGCACAATAATACTTTAAAATGTTTGATTGCAGTCGATTTGGAAATATACGCACATATTTAAATGTAATAACACTATTTAGGAAATTTAAATAAATCTTATAATCTCTTTACATAAATTTAGAACAGTGGCACAGGGTCTGAAAGAATGCGCACAGATATTTTATCAGGTAAATGGCAGTGAAATTTAGCGGTGGTGTGTAGCATTATAAAAAGCTCGAAGGTAGCCATTTTTCGTTTTGAGGTAAAAGTTGTGTTGCTCGGTCCTTGCTCGTCGCTATCAACGTTTGATGTGATATCATCATACGAAAGATTTGTTCGTTTATGCTTGGGCGTTGTCTTATATGAAAGTGCGGAAGTGATATTGTAGGCTTAATATAAAGGTATTATACCTTGAAGGTATTATGCCTTTTCGGTTCTTATATACCAGACCGCATCAAAGAAGTGATAATATAGATTAGATCTATAGTTTCTATACTATTACTTTAGATCATTAAACACATACGTTTTCATGTATTTTGTAGATGCTAGTGTTTGGTAGATGTTCTAGGACACTCTAGTGAAGCTGTACAATGTCACTTAATTACTCTCAAAAGAGTGTGCTATCGTCTGATTTTACTTTTGATAAATTCTGTTGTCATAGAAAAACCCTTCTCTAATATTCGAGTTAAATATTTGCTCCCTTTTTCAGGCCGTATGAGTAAACACTTAACAGGCACTCATGTATCGTGTTACAGTATAATGTAATATAAAGGGTGTTTTAACGGTTTACTTTTAGAATAACTTAGTAATTTGTTGAAGTATCAAGGGTGTTTTTAACGATTTACTTTTTGAATAACTTTGTAATTTGTATCCATCTGTCTAGAAACTTGATTCTGCAGAAGGTCATAACTGCTGTAAACTACTAATTAGTACCAGTAATTAGTAACTACTAAATTAGTAATTAGTAACTACTAAATTAGTAATTAGTAACTACTAAATCAGTAGTTTACACTTTGCAACAGTAATTTCAGGCAGGATGTTATTAATTATTATCTAGCGGTGATCAACTGGGTACTTCCTCCGTAACTTTAACTGCTAACTAAAGTTGAACTGCTAAACTGCTTAAGGTTTTGCAGTATATCAATATACATAATATATTATAACAAATATTACCTATTAAAAATATTGCATATATTATATGC